CATTTTTGAAGTAGGCTGGCGTTTACTCTTTTCTCTATGTTCCCTTGTTTGATGGTATAGATTGACATGCGTCTCTCGGTAATGATGTATGGCCCTTTCCACTTCGGAAGTAGTCTCCTTCTGCCATACTCACCTCCCGACCTATATCCTCGTTCTTTACATTTCACCCTATCTCCAACCTCAAATGGTATCCATTTACTTTCTCCTCTCTGCTCAGATTTTTCAGCATCAGCCCTCTGCCTTCGTTTCACATTCTGATAGCCTGCTTCCGCTCATCTCTCAACCTTGTCATGTTCCAGGGCTGTTGTTGGGGCCAGGTCTTACCATGTATCGGGAGCCATGGTTTCCTGTCTTAACTGCAAAGCCGACTTCTTGGTTGTTCCTGGTACCGAGGCACGATGAGCCAACAATACTAACGGCAGTTACGTTTCGCAATTTCCCCCCTTCGAAGCTAGCCACTCCTTCAGTGTACGGTTATTCCGTTCTGTCAAACCGTTAGTCTGTGAGTGGTACGGCGTCGTTCTTATCCCCTTGATATCAAGCTGCTCTAAACAGGAGTTAAATTCTTCACTCTCGAAACAAGGACCTTGGTCGGTCAGTATCATCTTCGGCACACCGTGATCCACAACAATGTGCAGCATCACCGCTGCGGTCACTGTCTTCGCGCGTTGGTCACGAATCGCAACAGCGTCTGCCCATCGTGTAGCATGCTCCATCACCACCAACAGGTATTGGTCGCCACTAGACGCCTGCGGAAATGGTCCCATTGCGTCCACCGACCACAGGTCACCAACCGCTGCTACTGGAATCGACTGCAGTGACAGCCGTACATACCGATCACCTTTCATCAGTTGACAATGAGGACACCCCAGCAAGTATTTGGCGGCATCCTTTCTCATACCTGGCCGGCATGCACCTTGTCTGAGATGGTCAGCTGTCCGTGAGACATCTGTATGAGCCGACTGGTGGCATTCTTGTATCATTTTGTCGCGTAGACATTTCGGAATCACTGCCAACCAGCTTCCGTCATTTTCTCGCCACGTTAGCATTCCACAAGTATTCATCCGTAGGCGTTGTTTCTGCGTCAACAACGCTCTCAACTCTATCTCCCACAGACGTTTGTGTCTGTGTCCCTTCAGTTATGGCTTTGATGACTTCTTTCAGTGTCGGATCCGACTTCTGAAGGCGAATAAGTCTTAACGGATTCCATTCCACTGCATGTACGCCGTATGCGATCTCAGGCAGCTCATTTTCTTCGTCAGATCTTGATAAGAAGTCTGCTAACCAGTTTTCTTTCCCTGTCACATGGCCGATGGTGAAGTCATATTCTTGCAGTCGTAACGCCCAACGTGGTAATGTTCCTCTGGGGTCTCTCGCTGTCTTAAGCCGCTGTAGAGGGTTATGATCCGTTTCAACATGGAGTCGCTGACCGAGGAGGTACGATCTACACTTCTCCAGCGCTCAAACTATCGCTAGACATCCCTTTTCCACTGTAGAATATTTTTGTCCCGCGGGTGTTAGAACGCGGCTGGCATACTCCACTACTTCTTCAGTCTGTCTCAGGACTGCCCCTATTCCATAATCACTTGCATCGGTGGACATGATAAATGGCCTACCAGGTATTGGTAGTTTTGACGTCATCTCCTGGTCATCCAGGAGTTCTTTGATGTGATCAAATGTTTTTGTACCTCCTCCATCCACATTAATTTGGGGTTGCCCAGCAGCTTATACAACGGTGCTGGTGCCTCATTGAATTTTTTGAGGAACCGACTATAAAATGCTGCTCTACCCAAGACTTGTCGCAGTTTCCTCTTGGAATTCGGCACTGGAATAGTTCTGACTGTCAGAATTTTCTCGGGCAGTGGTTTTATTTCGCCGTTTCCAACTTTGTATCCTAGCCGCGTTACACTCTTATTGGCTACTTGAGATTTTGTCGTATTGATGCGGAGTCCAAACTTATCGATACGTCTTAAAACAGCTTCGAGGTATTCTATGTATTCCGCCCCCGTCTGGCTGTACACAACCAGGTCATCTCCGTGCACCTCCACTTTCCCTAAATTCTTCGGCGACGACATCACCAATCGTCTAAATGTAAAGGGCGCCCCTGCCTGACCAAATGGCATTCGCTTGAATTGGTAGTGCTTCTTGCCCACAATAAATGATGTTTTCTCTTTATCACTGTCTCTTATTGGTAGCTGCCAGTGGTCCGAACGGAGATCCAGAACTGTAAATACCCTCGCATTCTGCAAACGATTCAGTGTCTCAGCTATCGTCATGGCACGTGGCTTCAGCTGCGTTATGCTATTTAACTCCCGGAAGTCCACGCAGAATCTATATTTCTCACAAGGCTTTCTTACTAAAAGCACTGGGGAACTGTATTGACTGTCAGCCTCTTCAATAATAACTTCATCTAGCACTTCCTCAACCTGGCGCCCGACTTCTTGTTCCAAGTGACATGGTATTCGCCGTGTTATGAATGTTATCGTTACCTGACTGGTCACTGGGATTTCGTGCTGAACCTTGTCACAGTAACCATAGGGGCCTCCATCTCCTGTGAACAATCTGCCGTATTTCTTAACCACCTTCATGATGTTTGGCGTTTCTGGGTACGCTGCTTTTGGTAATTCAATCTCTGCCACCTCGCTGTTTTCCCGAGTGTCGAACGACCTGTACTTCGTTGCCACTATTCCTGTTCTCGTGTTAATCACTGCACCCACTTCTCTCAGAAAATCGGCCCCTGGGATTAGGCGTTGTAGGCGCGCGGTCACATTAAATGGGAGTCCAATTTTCTGGCTCCCGATCTCAACAACGCAATCTGACAAGCTCGCAATGTCCAGTACATGTCCCCCAACCGTATGGACCGTTAGCGCACATGGCCTTGTGTTCTGAGACTGACACTTATCTATTAGAGAGACTGCCGCCCCTGTATCTATGAGACACGCGGTATCCCGACCATTTATTTGCGATCCAGCATACACCGCGCCCCGATCTATGGCTCCTACGATATCTAGTCCAGTCGGAAAAACACGAAAAAAACGTTTTCTCGTCCGCCTCTGCGGACAATTCCTTCTCTAGTGTCACGGCCTCCCGCATGCGAAGCATTTACTCTGTTTGTTGATGCTCATTCGCAGTGCAGCTATCTCTTCCTGAAGGTTGTCGATCTGTTCTTGCCAGTTATTTACCTCCACTACCGCTACTACTGTGCCCATTAGCTGTCTGGTCACCTTGGCTATTTCGCTAGTGCCCATGGGCTGGGCTGCATTGACTGGTCGTAACTGGTGGGCAATGGCATTCGGGACTCTTTCAGTGAACTGTGCGGTCAGTAACTGCTGTTGGGCATCCTCATCCAACGTGGGAAGCGCTCGTCGAAGTAGTTTGGTCAACTATACAGCCAACACCAGCAGATCTTCATCTGTTCCCAGCTTCGCGCTGCGGAACTGCTGCATCACCTGCTTCCTGTCTACCGAGCAGTCGAACTCCGCCTCCACCAAGTCTCCTTCCCCTCAACACGTTCCACTCCGTCGTATGCTGCTTTCGCTTTGTCCCGCAGCAACGTTCCCAGCACCACGACCTTCGCCTTCGCCTCCGGATCCCGAACCCCCATCAGCTTCACGACCGCCTCGAAGTCCCTGAGGGAAACCTTGGTGTCTCCATCCCCGAACTCTGCAGGCTATGGGATCTTCATCACATCCAAAGGCAGCGGTACCAATTGAAGAGACAGAAGACAACTTGACAAGCGAATGTTTATTACGAACAATTGGAATGGTAGTGGTTACATGTGGTACACCTTGCACTAACCCAGCCATTTGCAAATGTCTTCGTTTCCTCCTCCGTTCCTGTCTTGATCCGCTCTTGACCTGCTCTCCATACACTCTTATCAGCAGCATCCCCTGTAATACGCCTGTGTTATCCCCTGCGTCGCTCGTGGCAGAAACCTTATTCACTGCCGGTAATTTCCTATGATCCCTGCCGCCCCCTCGATATATACTACTTATATCCGTTGTTATCAGCAACGCCCACCACATTAGTTCCTCCCTCTTACCAATAGGTCCCCTCACATTTATCTCAAAACACTTAGAGTTGTTTCCCAAGGTGAAGGGCGTCTTGGCCATGGGAGGCTGTAGAGGACTGCGTGTTGCGGTAAGAATTTTTACTGTCAAGAACGGTCTGATGAAACCGGCCCAACCAGGCTGTTTCCCTCAGCGATTCAAAACTTTAGCATTCGTTCTTGTGGGAAGAATGAGATCAGCATCCATCATTTTCGCTCCTGAATCGGACCGAAAAAGACTCTACGGATCGTAAATTAACTTCGTACCCTGGCTTTTTCTATCCCTGGACCTATGGGTAAGAGGGTTGATATTACAAAATTGCGTAACCTCTTGTAGATATGACAGTCTGATTCCTTAACGTTGTCCTACATCCCCTGTCTTCACTATATTCTATCTTGTGAAGCCCCCGCCAATAGTTGACATCTGAGGAGTGGACGTCTGCCTACTTGCAGCACGGTCATTTAGGACTTGTCCTGGTGCGAACTTGACAGACGCAAAGACCAACCACTAATTATTCGGACTTGTTATATACCCACGAATACGAGACCAAGGAAGAACACGATAGCGTAGTCGGGCGGAATAGTATATTTGGATAGTCGTGCCAAAATACCGATGCGTTCCAACCAACTGGCTAGAGAGTCGAATACAGGCAGTGCAACGTAACACGACAGCGTGCCAAATGGCGAGGATGCTTGACCAGGTGCCTTCAGCTTAGCGAGTCCAGTTAAATTATCAAGGTCAGCATCAATGTTGAAAGTCGTCAAACCCCAAGCTATTGATTTTGGGGAAGTGTGTGACGCTACAGTGTCTACGACTTCTCTCCAGATAATATCTTTTACATTTGTCTAGTGTTCATCTGCAGAAAATTGATGCTGTCCGTGTAGTTTTTGGGGTTTGAGAATTCACTCTTCATGTCCTAGTAGTCCACTTTCAGGTAACAGCGGAACGCTTCAAGCTCAACTGTTGGCAATTTCGCTTTGGTTATTAAAGGAAATCTCACTTGTGCGTGGTCGCTTTTGGTTTCAGAGGATTGGACACTGATATCGTCCACTAAATGACCATCACTTACTAGAATGTAGTTGATTCGTGGTATTTTCGCATCTGATTCCTGTCACATGTTCTTCCGAATTTTCTCCATGATTAGCCTTTAAACACGAAAATTTGTAGGTCTGTTGATTATAATGACTTGGCGCAGATTCAATTGCAAACCTTGAGCTTGCTGAATTAGCTCGGCAGTATTTTATGTTTGGGCTCCGTTTGCGATTTTGTCGCAGTTTAGGTGTATTAATGAGTTCCAAATATCACGAAAACTCAATATTGAATAATGCACATGTGCACCATCAGGTAACTTTCGATTTTTGTGTAACCATATTTTTTTGAAGAGTGCTAAGTACGAACAAATTGTACACCATGATTTCAAACTAACTGGTCTTGCACCCACATTGGGCACATTTGGAAGTGATCAGGCTGCCACTGACTACATAGAATGTGTTAGTCTCAAGAGACTGGATATGTTCAAGTCAGATTTTGACAAGTATGATTGGTTGATGCACCTATTTGATACGAATAAAACAATGTTTTTCCGACTTTTGGCAAAGCATGCAGATAAAATGATGCCTCTTGTCTACACTCCAACTGTTGGTCTGGCATGTGAGAACCTTGGTTTGGTATATAACAGTGGGAGGTTAGTTTGTAAATTGCGTATCAAATTGGAATAAATTCAAAGAACTTGCTTTTACTATGCTTCTTTTCTCATTCAGCACTTACTTCGGATGCACTTTTAAAGTTTTAGGCAAAAACTCTAAGAGGCCATTAATGCATACCTGGGGATATCCCTAGGTATGCGCATTATCTTCGCTGAAAACCTCAAGGTTCTCTCTTCCCTCCCCCCTCCCATCTCCCGAGAAACTCAGCTCTCAATGTGTCCGAATTTGTTCCCGAAAGTGTCAGAAGTCCCTAAGTTGCTAGGGTTTCGGCAGTGCGCCTGAAATATGTGGGGAACTACTGCCTCATTTCACATAATCACGTTTAAAATACTCTTTGACATCCGTTTTTTGTAGTAGAAATCGTTTGTATACTTAGAAACCTTTACAATGTGTTCTTGCCCGAAGTTGCCAAAGAGCGCCCAAACTTGATGCTGGCTAGGCTTGAGCTTGCTCATATGCATCTTATGTTCTTACCCTTAAAACTGAATTAATTTCTTTGGATCTTCCTGAAGAAAATCATTTAAGTCACTTCAATTCGTGGATCACTGAGGTGTGACAACTTCGGTTGCTCAAGTATTTACTCAAATTTCTAAAGACACCTGTTTACATTAATATGTTTGACAGGTAGTAATAATTTGCAGCATGCTTGTAAAAAATATAGTTTTTGTGAAAAAATGTACTTAAATCGAATCATTAAAAAAGACAACATGGGAAATCCAGCAGCCTGGAAATTGGTTGTTTTTATTTGTCTACCATCACTCAGTATATAATACCTATCACCATAAAAATAATAATAGGTTAAGCCAATAAACATTCACATACTTTAGGAAGAATGAGAAACATGATTACAAGATCTTACGATTGATGGGGTTAGATATCCGAAGTTAGAAACCAGTATGATTCGAAAGAAATGCACTATACGCAGTCCTAACCGACCTACAGTATCATTGACTTTCGTATGGTTGCCATTAACTCTGTTTGGATGCCAGATGATTCTAGACATTGCTATTTTATCTTATTCGTATGAGATTGTCGGCGAAGGTTTCATGTCTTTTCTCATGAATCAGAGTCGAAAACTAGAGACTTCAGTTGACACTGTTAAACTAGCTATTCCTTGGCACTTTTCTTTCAGTTTTCATAAAATATACCATAAAAGCTTGGTACTCTGTTCTACTGTGTCATAATTCTTAACCTTCATGGCAGTAAAGTTTCTGATATCTATATCTTATTCATGGTATGACTTTAGTAGATCATTATTGGGTTATTGTAGCTTGGTTGAAATACTACCTAGTTTACTACGTTTAGTTGTACTACGGGTAGACTTATGCAATACTACGTGTTGAGAAATCTGTACTGTAAACAAAATTATAGTTCGGAATAAAGCAAATATATTATTATTAGTTGAGGCCTCTAGTTTTGACCGGTTGGTCTTAGCTGTGGGAAAATGTGGACTCCCTGGTCAATGTACGCGTGCTAACCAGAAGATTAGATGGCACGATTTAGAATCTAACAGTCTCACAGATGGATGCACGCATTATATTTTTCATAGTCACATCGAATTTCGTGATTTCCCTACCTTCCCCTTCTTTTGGCTGCATTTGATTAGTTCCTGTATGCTTTTTTGTCTTTCATCTCGGTGTCTTCTCCTTCGATGTGTCACTGCGGTATGACAATTCAGGCTGTTGCGCAGTAATCCTAGGCCCCGTGTCGATATTAACCAAACTTATGATTGACCATCAATTTCTTCAAGTCATTCCACTCACTAAGTGTCAGAAAACGTCGATTATCATCTAAAGTCTATGCGTTAATATGATATATTTTACAACTAAGCGCATGGTGCTGGCTCAACGAGTTTTTCTTTAAGTACATTCTCATTACCCTCATCAAATCAAATAATAAATAACTTTCTGCCTCTCCTCACTTAACATTCATTAAAGTGTGAATGAAAAATGTCCTGATCGGTGGGTTATCATGCTCTAAGCGGCTATTACGAATAAGCAGCATTGTATTATTATATTTTACTAACTTGCACCACTTGCGGAGCCGATGAGATATTCGACTACCTATTAAAAGACAAGTATACTGCACTACGATTAGTTTTATCCCATAATCCGCGTGTGAGATATGCTCTCTATAAACAAATATATGGAGTTATTACTAATGGTTGATATACTTGTAATCCCACGTTGTTATACTGGATCGAATTGTTCTACCTCTGTTGGTATGTGGGCTCCTTGTGAATACCTCAAACGATTCGATCCAATATAACAACGGAGAATTACAAGTATATCAACAATTAGTTATAACTAATACCCTTTGTACAATATGTGGCTATTGTGGCTCCATGGCCTAGTGGATAACGCTTTGGCGTTTGAAGTGGTGGGTACGGGGTTCAAGTGTCAGTGGGAACAACATAACTTAATAGGGTGCAAGTACATCCAACTGGCGAGTCTCAAATAAGACGGAACGCGTTTCCTGGATTCTCCTGCTACCCAAAACCAATTAAATTATCATAGATATATAGAGTTTACAGGTTATTGATCACAGATATCTTATGAGCTCTTTAAAGTTAATATCTTCTCGTAACCTCTACCTGCGCACCTGATGATAGGGATTCAGGCAAAGTGAAGGCAAGTTTAACTGAACTCTGTCTGGCCTTATGCGAAGAATGAACGTGCATTATTCATAACTAAATAAACTTGCTTCACTGTTGTAAAACAGTGGTGGTGGTCGAAGACAAATCCGTTTGGAGGTTAGAAACGTTCAGTGAATCTGGTTTATATTCATCTAAATTGATTGCTGGACAGAATAATTCCAAGGAACCCTGCAGATTATAAAAAAAAGAAGCAGTTTAAATGTGAACTCACCGAGTCCACAAAGTAATCATGAGCATTGTTAGACAAATCTACAGAGATAAATGCAATGGAGATAAATAATAATGAGCAGTTGTTTCGACTTTTCTGAAAGATTTGGCGATCAATAAAGCAAACGCCAAGAAATAAGCTCCAGTAATTCATTTTCAACTAGGTTCCTGGTAGGATGGAAATAACATTCTGACAGGCAGTAATATTGTCTTGTAACCACTTAATTTGTATACTATCCATCTTCAGCATCGATGCAGTACCAGCAACTCTTAGAATTTGAGAAGAATATATGTGGCCGGATATTGGAAAGCACTAAGCCCTAATAGGTTGATACCAGAACTACTTGTTGATAATAACTTGCAAAAATTATTTGAAATGAGGGTGGAGGTTAAAAATGACTTACTTTGACTTGTCTTTATCGGTGATCATCCCAGTCAAGAGAAAAGAGGAAAACTATTTTATTTGCTTTATTTTGATTCGACTTGAATTTCGCTACCTCAGTTGTTAATCAAGATACTCAACTTTGAGCCAATGGATCACGGATTCGAAACACATCTTATGTACTAAAGTCTAGGTAGCCACAATAGATGCACTTCATTTCCCAGTACACAAACATGCACACCATTATGTAATTGCACCAAGCCTTAAACCTAAGTCTATTTATTCTTCTTCACTGGACAGAATTAGTCTGTTGACTAGAAGCTATCTACATGCAGTGCTGTTTAAAAATCCTCTTTATTAACAGGTAACATTTTTTTAGTCATCCTGTTCATCAAAAAGTTGGACCAGTTGTCATCAAAGTAAAAATTTTCTGCCCCTTTCAACACATGTTGATCCATTTAGCTTTACTAAAAGTTATTATCCTGAAGCACTTTAGTAGTATCCTCATCTCAAACAGTTAAAAACAAATTACCTCTGCTCATGATCGATGTCGATGAGGTATACGACGGAGGAAAATTGTCACGTTTAGCAACACGTATATTTTCTCTTGTGATAACCACAGAGGAGCCAGTCTGACAAACACAGTATCTAAAATTTTAGGTTCCATAGATCCTCAACGCCCGAGTGGAGCTCGGGAACAGCAAGCCCGAGAAAGCCAGGCAGGATTTAGACTCAGCCACGAGTGTATCCACCAAATACTCACACTGTGCCAGGTTGTAGAACACAGACACGCTTACTGACCGATGCCCGACAATAGCTGTATTTCTCCACCTAAAGGCGGCATTCAACTCCGTTGATCGAGAAGTCTTATGGAAATGTCTCCCACTGAAAGGTATGCCAAGTAAGTACATCACCTTATTGAAGTCTTTCTACTCGAACACTTGTGAGCACGGTAGAGCCTATGATGAGAAATCCGGGGAGCTGTGCTCGTCAAGTGGTGTCCGCCAAGGCTGTCCACTCTCTCCATTCTTATTCAATTTTATCATAGATATTCTTATGCAGGTCTCCCTCGCGTCACCTGACCTCACAGAGAGGTTCACCTAATCGCAGGAGAATTTTCAGCACACCTAGAATACGCAGATGACATAGTCCTGTTAGGTGAAGACGCTGACAACATGCAGAATCTTCTGAACACTTCGAGTAGCAATTTGAGAATGTTTGGGATGCGTTTCTCACCACCACCTAAATGCAAATGTTTACTCCACAATTGGTCTTCAACGGTGCCCCACTGTGGCTAACAATAGAGAGTGTAGTGGTTGAGTGTGTTGATCACTTCACTTGCCTGCGAAGTGGGATCAGCCCTGGTGGCTGGCTCAGTGGCCGATGAAATTTCCACACGAATACAAAGACTCGGCTGGCTTTTGAGAACTTACGCCACCTGTGGCGCCACCGTGATATCCGATTGTCTATTAAGGGTCGCGTGTACTGCACAATAGTTCGCTCTGTTCTACTGTATGACTGTGAAACATGGCCATTGAAAGTGGAAGACATGAGAAGGCTAGCTTCAGGTGTTTGTCCACCATTGCCTTTGTAGTATAGGTCGTATTCCGTGGTGTCACCACGTGAGTAACGCAGGAGTCAAGACCAGGCGTAGAGTTTTAGGGAGAAGAGGTAATTCAGTTGACACGGTTGTGAACCTTCATCGACTGAGATGGTTGGCTCCGACATGTGTTACGTATGCCTAGTCACCGACTGCCTCGTCACAGAATGGTGGCCAAAGTGGGTTCAGGCTGGCAAAAGGCTCGAGGCGTCCAGACTAAAACATGGAATCTATGTATGAAGTCTTTGACTGTTGGTTTGAGCCATGTAGAGCTATGCAGACTAGTCGTTTGGGGTGCATGGGACAAGGGAAACCAGTAGTTGGAGACTCTAGGTGATGACATGGCTCAGAACCCATGTCAGTGGCGCAGATGTATACACACATTATCCTCATTTTACGACGATATACCGAATCTCACCATTTTCTCCTTTCAGTACTTCATATTTTTTTGACTGGATTTTCTTCTCTTCATCTTCCACTTCACTGCCACTTTACTTTACATGCTGATATGCACTGTAGCAATTCAGACCGTTACTCAGTAATGCTAGTTCATATGTTGATTTCGATGTATGGATGGACACGTATATCTGTATTCTTACATATATTGTTAATTATCATTTCTTGATTGATTCCACCAAGTCTTTTTCAGGGGACTTTTCATTACTATTAAGGATAAAGGAAATATAGCTACTTTATTGAGGAATTGGCCAAACAAAGATATACGAGTAAGTCTCACGTGTTCGAATCATTGAAGCTAAATAATCTTTGGTAAAACCGTATATATAGTTAAGATATAAATGACATACATGCTCTGTTTAGTGCAAAATTGTCAGGTTTTCAATCAGTAAATATATACGTTACACTGAAGTTTTGATTAGATTTTGGTTTCATGAAATTTGTGTATATAATGGTGAATATTATAGGAGCCAGGGGTTTAAGGTTGCCATAGTTAAATGAATATAGCACATAAATAAAACTTTGAGGGTGATAAAGTATTGATATGGGAAACAAAGTACCTTTCTTCTCTCTTTATGTACTTTAATGAAAATTGATGTTCAAGTAATTTGGTTATACGAATGGAAGGTAAGTGTAGTAACTGCGTACAAGACGCTTGGAAAGTAGTTAGAAGCGCAATCATGTAACAACAAAATAATGAAAGTAGTTAACGCAAAAAAGTTTCATCAGACTAGATGCACTGTTGGTTGAGATTTCTAGCCTAAATGTTGATAGTAATTTTCTATTAATTTGCTTAGAATAATTTTGTCATTGTGAACTTTCTATCATTACTGTTGACAGTCTGAAGGACTTTTATACTCAGTGAAAACTGCTTACAAGAATAAAAGTGTGACAGGTATATATCAGTAAGAGGATATGTTTTGTGTTTGACAGATAATGCTGATCTTTTTTTCGAAAATATATACTTGTAAATAAAAGCCTTATTACCTGATGTGATAGGTAGTTAGTGAATATATTCAATTCATTATTTTGTTGTTTGTATCTCTTAAGGAATAAAAAATAAAGCAAGTTTGTTTTGGCTAATATTTCGCTATTTAGCGCGAATAGCCTCAGCAAAGTTATGTTAAACGGAATTTACAATATCCAGACCTCTATGTGATCTGAGTTTTTCTGCTTGAATGATTCTACTATATTGTTGAGAAAGATGACGACCATATGTAGTGCGTCAAGTTGGTCTGACTATGTATGCGTATATTCAATTATCATTTTGACTATCTGAGATAGCCGTGGTTTGACAGACTAGTATTGATACTGGGTGATGATTGAAGGGGAAGTGAAAATGTGGACCACAGTCGGATTAAAATCAGCGACCAATGGATTTCTTGTCCGATGCTCTACCAACTGCGCTACAAGGTCCGATTGCTGACCACATTTTTATTTCGTGAAGGGTTTTGGCCGACTACCTTATGATGTCTCTACGCGTTACTATGGCTCGATCGTACTCATACTGACTGCTAGTATAAATACTAGTTTGCCAAACCACAGCTATCTCAGATAGTCAAAATGATGATCAGTGTGGTGATCCCTCTGACTGATTCACTTAGATTTGGATTGGGATGGGAAGTCCTGACCAGGAAGCCAGTGTGAGTACGACCAAGCGATAGTAACGCGTAACGAATTCACATGGTAGTCGGGCAAAACCCTCACTGATTGGAGTAAAGTAAAAATCTGGTCAGCAGTCGGACATTGTAGCTCATTTGGTAGAGCAACGTGTTGGAAACCTGGTGGTCGCTGGTTTGAATCTGACTGCGGTCCAAATTTTCAGCTCACCTTCAATCATCACCCAATATATTCAACTTTTGTTTTTCAGCGTGTTGAAAGTCATCTTTTGAGTTTCAGCTCATAACGTTTTTCGAATCTACAACTTTTGAACCAGCTAACTAATTAGTGTTTTTGCTGGGAGTTTATAAATGACACACCTGACCCAAGAAGTATATCACCTTGAAATATGCTTTTTTGGATATAAATGAGAGGTAGATAATTTTACAATTAGTTCTATGACCAGCTAACTTTTTCCGCACTGTAAATTCGTTGGCGTTAGAACAGTGTCATCTTCTTTTTGCAAGTTCCATCCTATTTTCATCACAGGTTGGTGATTCCGATACTCAGTTGAACTCTCTTAGACCTTGCAACTGGTTCAGTTGGTGAGGGTATGAACTGCCATCGACTGAGCCGTTGTGGTAACATGGCGCGGATGCTAATCTACCATCTGTTCGAGGAATGATTTTGATAAGATTACCAATAGATTGGGCGAACCAAGAGCTAGCCAAACTAGTTAACTATCGTTTTTCTCCGTAATGTAGTTTCGAAATGCATCTACATCAAGTTCACATCTTTGTATTTCACCATTAGTCACATATTTTTTCTCATGAATCTTAGTACTGCCTGGTTTTCCTGACCTCTATTTGGAAAGCTGTTAAGATTTGTGGTCACTAGCTGCAAGTTAAACGCCTTAGCATAAGCTGTGAACCTTGAAATACTATGAATTGGGTGGTTGAAGAACCCTAGTGATATTACTGGCAATCAATCACGTTTGTGCAAACATACTGACTCTTTGAATTTCTTCAGTTCTTGGTAGTTTTGTTAACTACCATAGATCTAGGCTGTCTTTTCACTCATGTGTGTATCTTTCTGGACTTTCCTGATCTTTTATATTGTGCTTTGCTGCAGCTTGAAGTGACCATTTTGTTTTATTGTTTCACCTACGTAGCTTTAGACAACAGAGAGGTGGTGTTTTTTGGTATAACTTTAACTTCACTCCCAACTGGGTGTAAAATATGTTAGATTGCTACTAAATACTCTCAATAACATATAAATCATTCATAAATGTTGAGTTGGTCACCGGTTTCCAGTGGTATCTTGGGTTTTTATGTATAGTAAGTTATCAGAGTAGTTTTCTTCACGAATTGAAAGAAGCTTAAGAATTATTGAGAACAGGCGACCACTTGACGGCTGTTTTCATTCTAGTTTAGAGCCCTCAGCAATATCTGACCATGGTTCCAAATAAAATCAATTCCAGGGTGATAAAATCTCATGGTGATTGTATTACCGTCCAACTAGATTCGTCGTACATATTTCACCAACAGATTTGAGTAAAATGACTATTGTATATTCACATATGCAGATCCTTTTTCATTCAAGTATACCCAATACTTGTAAGTTTATTGATCTACTTTTTAACTGAAAGTCAGCAAATATCAACATAGAATCCAGTATGATTGCTTAACACTCGAATTTACTATACAAAAGAGATGTTTGAAAATAGTTTCATGGTTTTTTATCCGCAAACTTTATCTTTAACGTGTGAGGCAATTAATGCCACTCTTGGAATGTGAATCTACTGCATTCACTTCTAGTGTCAAATGATTTACCCTTAGATTGTTCTGCTCCTGAATGATCTGTAGTGAGACTGGAGTTTCTGTACTGTTATTTGGGGTCTGAAAGCAGTCAATATCATGAATATAGGAGTAAAACTCGAGCACTATAATTCCATTTTAGTCTTTTTGTTTGAAATAGTATCAATTACTGGATAACGTTCCGAACACAGTTTATTGTCCATATTCATGTCAGGTAACTTTACAACTTTGAGACAGAGTTTATATAGTTCTAATTTTTCTCTTCTTCTTCGTGACCTGTCCCAGATATATCAAAAATTTCACTGACCTTGTCGCAGAGGGAGAGATAATCAGGACTATGTAAATTCTGTCTCAAGGTGGTGGAGTTACCTGATATAAATATGGACAATTACTTGTGTCCGGAACGTTATCTAGTAAATGATACTGTTTCATTGTGTGATATTTCTAATGAACTGATTAAAATGAAGTCAATATCATGATTTAAAATTGAATGTCCTCCTAAGGTGTATTATTACCTATGTGTATTATGTTCAAAGTGCCGTACCATAAAAGTTCTAGTAAAGAAGAAGTCTCTGATTAGTGAGCAAATCAACAGTTTTGCCCTGAAACGCTAATAAATTTTATTTTCTAGATTTCAAAAAAAACTACTTATATACTTCTTAAAGCGATTGTCTATTGAAATCTTAAAACTATCTGACCTAAAATAGAATCAAACTGTAATACAAAGTGGGTAGTCAATCTCTCCTCGAGAAGCCTAAGCTCAGCTGAGACGAAAGTACTCGAAAAAGGACTAAACTTCAACATGACAATAGGTCATCTAAAACCAAAAGATGTCATACCTAGCATAGAAGTAGCGTAAAGCTCAGTGGATGCAGCAATAGCTGAACAGGTTAGAGCACAGTGTGCATTAACACTGAAAAGACAAAAGAAAAGACAGTGGAACTTAACAAAACTTGAAAATTCAGCTCTGAATAGTCTACAGAATGACAATAATATAGTAATTGTTAAGTCTGATAAAGGCAATTTAACAGTAGTTATGGACAAATTGGATTACTTCAACAAAATTAACGAGCATATCCAAACAGAACCATATGAAGAAATCAAGAAGCCGTTAAACACGGTCATGAATAAAATCAGGGAATCTACAGCCAATCTGATACGCCGACTAAAACCATCTCTAGGTGAGTCTGAACGGTTTAATTTAATGCCTAAAACTAATAATCCTAGGACAATTTACGGCACTATTAAGATTCATAAACCAGGTTATCCCATTAAACCCATAGTTGACTTCAGAAATACCCTAACATATGAACTAGCAAAGTACTTAGCTTCGATATTATGCCCTATTAGGAACCGTTCAAATTCCAGACTAGTAAACTCTTACAAGTTAAAACTTAGGCTTAATGACCTACACATAGAAGAGGATGAAAAAATGGTTAGCTTCGATGTAACTAGTCTGTATACTAAGATACCAATGAATATGGCACTGGAGGCAGTCAGAAGTCAACTAAATATTGACTCAGAACTTAATCAGAGAACAAAGATATCGGTTGGTGAGATTATATTAGGCATACAGTTATGCCTAACCTCCACAGTCTTCAAGTTTCAGGAGAAAATATACAGACAAACAGAAGGTGTAGCAATGGGATCGCCGATATCCCCAATTATAGCAGATATATTTATGGATAGTTTGGAAAACATGGCTTTACAAACGTTTAGTCCTACACCAAAAATGTGGTGGCGATATGTGGATGACCCATATACTGTGTTGAAATCGGAACATATCGACAATTTCCTCATGCATATAAACTCAGTAGTATACACCCATTTTAATTGTATATAAAAAGTAGTTGTTGGCGTTAAATTTATTATTGTAACTTCATTTCATTCGCGAAAATGTTCACTGATGACCTGTCGTCCAGTTTTGTTGATACCGATCAGGAGTACTTACTTACGGTGTTAGTTTTATTGTCCTTTAACCACTTTTCCAAACTCAAAAAAAGCTATATTCTTACTGCGCAGTATACTTTCCTAAATTGGGCAGTCTTTGTGAGAACGCCTCTGTACTGACGTGAATTACTCTTGGACGACTAATTGCCGAAAACAATCAAAGTTTTGTATTTTTAAGATTCTAGGTTTTGTGAATTCTCAATACTATTTGTTTCTATGTTACTAGGCTATCTGTGTAACTGATGGTGAACGCATTCTTGGACTAGGTGATCAGGGTGCCTTTGGAATGGGGATACCGGTTGGTAAACTAGCACTGTATACTGGTCTGGCAGGAATTCCTCCGCAGCACTTACTTCCAGTTTGTTTAGATGTTGGAACAAATAATGAGGTAACATTCAGCTATTTTCCTTTGCATGTTTTTCATATTTTGCACTTGTTCAACTAAACCAAATCTGCATGTCTAACAAGGTTTCTGCTAATTTAAGCAGCATCTTAAGACGACAGAGATTATCTGAAACATGTTGTGTATTAGCGCTATACATTTTGGACATTCGGATCACGCATGAGCTTGTTGAAAAATTTATATAAAAACTGAGAAAGGTTAGTTAAGTCAATGGAATTGTAATTGAGAATGATCATAAGAGCAGAATGAAAACAAGAAAGGCGAAAACGGTCAGATTATCATCACCAATAGTATGAGGAATTGAACTCAATATTACCATAGTAGGTTTAGCGTATAAGTGAAAACATAAAAGAGGTTAAAACTTATGAATTGAAAGTGCTTCGATCAATCTAAGTATTCGACTTTGACCATATCTTTACAACACCGAAATGGCTGTCGTCATATCAACCTTACGACCAGTGTTTAATATGGTTTGCGACCGATATGGAAGGAAGCTTGTCGCCTACACTTATCAAATTATATATTTTATTGGATATCCATTTTGCAGTGATGTATCCATCAAAAATTTTGCTTCTATTTCATTTGTATCTTCTGTACAAATGCGATCAATAGATGTAAAATCAGTACAACACTGAAACGAACTAATCAGTATTTTGTTCATCAGAAAAATGTGTAAATCACACTACTATTCAGGTGAAGTAAATAACCTAGTCTTAAAGAAAAGACTCAAACCAGTTGTTAACAGGGCATACTACGCGACCAAGGTCATCTTAGTGGAGATGGAAAAGCTCATGCTTCAACACAAACCTAAAAAGCATTTGAAAAAAGTGTATCACATCCCACTGTGTCTATCATTTCACTTTATTTGTGGACACATACATAGGAAGGAGCAATTGTGATATGCAGTTAAGACTGGTTGAAGATATGTCTAAGTGGCTGCAGAAGCAAATGACTTCTAATAGTTTGATACAGTGACCTTGAAGGTCACCCTAGGAACAACTAAGATAACCAATTAGATTTTTCGATCTATGAAAATCTGCCTCTCCAGCCGAAATGGAGAAACCTGGTTGGTTATTTCAATCGTTTGCTGGGGTGGCCTTTAAAATCGCCCATTCGATAAGTCCAGGCAACAAATATCTCCTTCGTTGGTTGCGAACCACATTAAAAACTGGTTATAAGATTGATATGACGGCAGCTTTTTCTATACTGTACAGCAGGTATGGTCAAAGTCAAATCCTTGAATTAATCGAAGCACTTTCAATCCATAAGTTTTAACCTTTACGTATTCAAAAACAATTTGCGCTTATGCCAAACCTACGTGATAATATTGATTTCAATTCTTCATACTATTGGTGATAGTGATCTGACTGTTTTCGCCTTTCTTGTTTTCGTTCTGCCCTTATTATCTTTCCTAATTACGATCACACTGACCTAATTAATCTTTCTCAGTTTTTATTTAAGTTTTCCAACAAGTTCGTATGTGATCAAAATGTTCGAAATGTATAATGTTAACGCATTACATATTTCAAATAATCTTCGTCTTCTTATTGCGCTGTTTAAATCTATCAAAAGCAGACTAATTGTTTCAAGTTTGTACTAATTATAGGGTGGGCATTTAGCATATTGATGAAACATTCTGATTCTGTTACTTGCTTAAGTTATAGTCATTGTAAATGTGTAATGATTATTCAATTGCTCGGAGTGATACGATCAATTCAGTTACCTGGATTTTAATCCTTTCTAAATATGACTTTGAACCTACAATTCATGTTTTTCATTACCGAATTCTACTGTGGAAAATTTTTGTGTAAGTTATGTGAATACCAGTACACAATTTTAATCCCCAACAGTGCGGTCATTAATGAAAGTCTAAAACTTCAGCACTGTGGTAGAATGCAACTCCATATTAGATCCGTTTATCTAATATAACCAGCACACAACGATAGAGTATTATTTACTTGATGATGATGTTTCGAGTAATAATTATTGCTCATAATCATATCAATGTGATCACACTCCTTTCAATATCTGACTTTTATAGTCATCTCACCCACCTCATCTTATTTGCTTTTATTCGTAGTAAAATCCTCCATATCTCTGGTGTAGGTATTGCATCATTCCTATTACATCTGTTGGATGTAGATTCGATGAACAAAGCTTCATGTTCTCTCTCTCTCTCTCTTCCTCTAGTTATATTGGACTCAAGTATAGTGATTTTATCCCAACCAACATATTGTGTGGTGTGGTGTGTGTGTTAATACATCCATTGCAGTAGCCCAGTTTTCTTTTACATTATTGATCTTTTCAGGTCTGTCATTCTGTATTTACCTAAATTCCCATGTTCCGTCCGCTATTCTAACTGACCCAGATAGGCTAGTTCGACCTATGTACTTGACCTCACAGTCATTACATGGAATTTGATAAATTAGATTATTTTGTTTAACTTATTCTATCGAATCCTTAAGCTGACAAAGCTTATCTCTGTCTGAGTGAGCTTGTAAGCCTGAATGCTACCCTAATTCCAACCTTGTTGAGAATCCGACATAAGGTTTCTGGTATTGTTTCTTAATAGGGTAACACTGTAGAGGCTTTGAACTCCATTCTACTCGTGTTATCGTTATTCTTCGTACTCGTAAACAGGTCAAACTAATGGGTCAGGGTCAGTTACATTTGCGGAACATAGCAGTTTAGCTAAAAAAGTAGTGACAGATATCCCAAAAAGATGAAATTCTCAAAAAAGCTCGGCAGTTGCAATGCATGCATTAACACAACCAAACAAATAGGCTGGGTGGCATAAAACCATTGTACTTAAATACAATATAATTAGGTGGAGAGATGGATTGATCACCAAATCTTTTTCTCGTTGTTATTCATTGTAGACTGACATCAGTTGGAGGAACAAAGGAAACCTGGGAGCACTGGACAGCTGTTTCGTCCTAGTATGGGACTCCTCAGCAGTGCGCACCCACGACCCACCCTTCAAAATTTAATTGAACTGGTGCTCATTGGTGACTAGTTTCGAGAAGTATTCCCGAAGTTCCAATGACAAGTCGTGACCGGTGGAGTCAAAGCCTGATGGCCATGAGGACAAATACTCAGCGATGACATTGGGTGGCGGTTGCGCTATATATCGTGAGCTAACAGAAGTTGGAAATATGGAGCATTGGATTGTGACCCAGTGGCTCAATGGTAACGCGCTGGCCGCGGAACCTGAAGGTCACGGGTTCGGTCCCTGCTGGTGGGGTCGTGGGTGCGCACTGCTGAGGAGTCCCATACTAGGACGAAACAGCTGTCCAGTGCTTCCAGGTTTCCTTTGTTCCTCCAACTGATGTCAGTCTACAATGAATAACAACTTGAAATAATTCCAAATCTCCACAACTCCCTCAAAATTTAATTAAATCTTTTTCGATAGCGTGATTAGAAGACGCAGTTTATCTGAAGTACCAATAAAAACCAAACATATGAGGTGTTGTGTTTGCGCAAAACAATCTCGAACAGTCTGATCACACATTTACTTGTCAAGTCAATTTATATATGAAAATGAAAGGTCAAATATAGTGAATATGAAAAGGTTGTGACACTAGCCTTGGTAATATAATCAGATAAGGATTACCAAGGTAAATTAAGTGAAACAACAATTTTGTATGCACAGTCAACGATTCGGCAAACTTCATTTGCCCCCCCCCTGATTATTCCTGCATAATATCTTGAAGTCTGTTCACAAGGTTAACCTTGTGATTCATTTCAGTGATATGTTTTTGCTATAGATGACGATAGATGTCTGTCACCTGCACCTATCAATGTTTATGTGGTGAATTGCTTTTCAAGCCCACTTGGGTATGTGTTCATCCACCCTAGTCTGCATTGAACGATTACTCCTCCCTATGTATGTGTGCCCATACATACATGTAAATTGGTAAACACAGTGGGATGTGACGTTATCATATTTATATGAGGTTGAGGTTTGTGGCGAAGCCAGTGTTTTGTTGTCTCAACAATGGTAAGCTGAGCTGCATAGTATGTTTACTGATAACAGATTTTAATCTCTCCTTCAATATCATACTACTCGTTTCCCCTCTGTATGGTACTTGAAGAAATATGTTTTTCTTCGGGACCGAGGAAACTATAGACTTCGGAGCCAGCTGTTTTTACAATGGTTGACAAACTGTAATGGATAACCGTTTTCCATTAGAATGTCTGTCAGAAGTTTATTCTCATCATCCATCATATTAGATGTACAAATACGTTGGATTCTATTGAACAAGCATCTTACTAAGCCTCTCTTATATTTCATCGGACAAAAACTGTAGAAATTAAATACTGTCCTGTCCAAGTAGGCTTCCTGTATATTGATCGTCTGATATCCATCTTCCCTCCGGCCAAAAGTTATGAAGAAATGCAAGTGATGGGCTTTTTCTTCCTCATATATCAGACTGATATGATCTTGTACGGTATTAAGCCTTTTTAACAAACTCTTGGCATCCTCATGTGTCACATATTACAAAGATATCATCCACATACCTTCTATAGAATGTGACATTGGTGATTAAATCTTGAGCCATTAGTTCAGTATGTGACATATATGTATCAGCTAATAACGGTCCTAATGGATTCCCCATGACCACACCATCAATTTGACGAAAGTGTTCACCTTCGAAAGTGAAATGAACCTTATAAGTACATAACAGAAGGAGCTCTTTCAAATGAATTGAAGGAATAGGGAAAGAAGAATAATTTGAAGATATATAATCGCAAAGAATATTAACTGTCTTCGTTAGAGGCACATTCAGAAACAAAGAGTTGACATCAAAAAAATACACTTTCTTACTTTTGGTGTTCAAATCAGTCAGACAATCAACAAGTTCTAAACGTATCTTTCAGTGAATACTTATATAAACCATTACGAATCGGGTTCAGTAATTTGGCTAAGCATCTCACCGATTTGTGTGTGGGAGACTGACACATTGACAATATTGGGCGTAGTGGATTATTAATTTTGTGAATTTTTGAAAGTCCATATAGATTTGGAAAATTAGATCCAATGAGTTTTAAGGAGTTGAACTCCGCTTTAGCAATAACATCCATATTAAGGAGTTTAACTAGACTAGTTGTTACTTTTCTTTCTAATTTTCTTATATCCTCTGACACAGCATCTGCCAGTCAGCGACTAGGCATACGTAACACATGTCGGAGCCAACCATCTCAGTCGATGAAGGTTCACAATCGTGTCAACTGACTCACCTCTTCTCCCCAAAACTCTACGCCTGGTCTTGACTCCTGCGTTACTCACGTGGTGACACCACGGAATACAACTATACTACAAAGGCAATGGTGGACAAACACCTGAAGCTAGCCTTCTCATGTCTTCCACTTTCAATGGCCATGTTTCACAGTCATACAGTAGAACAGAGCGAACTATTGTGCAGTACACGCGACCCTTAATAGACAATCGGATATCACGGTGGCGCCACAGGTGGCGTAAGTTCTCAAAAGCCAGCCGAGTCTTTGTATTCGTGTGGAAATTTCATCGGCCACTGAGCCAGCCACCAGGGCTGATCCCACTTCGCAGGCAAGTGAAGTGATCAACACACTCAACCACTACACTCTCTATTGTTAGCCACAGTGGGGCACCGTTGAAGACCAATTGTGGAGTAAACATTTGCATTTGGGTGGTGGTGAGAAACGCATCCCAAACATTCTCAAATTGCTACTCGAAGTGTTCAGAAGATTTTGCATGTTGTCAGCGTCTTCACCTAACAGGACTATGTCATCTGCGTATTCTAGGTGTGTTGAAAATTCTCCTGCGATTAGGTGAACCTCTCTGTGAGGTCAGGTGACGCGAGGGAGACCTGCATAAGAATATCTATCCATCTCTGAGTTGAGCTCGATGGACGCCACGTCAGACAGTGTCTTTTCTTATGTCTGAAATGTATGTTGGCTAAAAATAGGCGGTTATCTGAGCACAGTTGTAGCATACAATCACCGTTATCTGTACGTTCATCCGGGACTCCGAAAGTGCTATCTAAGGGCCTTTCTGCCTCACTTAGTCTACTCACCTGTGCGTTGAAGTCACCTGCAACAACCACGACGTCCGAACGTTTGGCTTTCGAGAGGGGGCTAGACAGTTTACGGTTGAACTGGTCTTTCACTTCATCCGAGCTGCAGTCAGTGGGTGCGTAAGCAGAGATTGCAAAGAGACAACGGTGAGTTTCACTATCCCTTTTAGTTCCCACTGTGCCGTTCAGTCGGATAGCACAGAGGCGACTATCAACTGGGATCCAGTCTAGTGGTGAGTTTTCTGCTCTAATGCTTAGTGGTATCCCTACACCTGCAAGACTGCGAGAGCCAACTATCGAATCTCCAGGAACTCGAAGGGTGAATTTTGTGGATTCACCAGATTGGTCAGGAGAAGTTAGGTGAATAACCACTCTTGGGTCCTGTATGCGTGTCTCACAAACACAGCACACATCCATGGCCCAAGTTGCTAGAGTCTTTGCTAACGAAGCCTGTTGACCAAATTGATGGAGGGTGCGGACATTAAAGGCTCCAATATGTAATTTGGAGTGTGGTTTAAGGAGACCAGTGATGCTGTTTTGCGGACTCGGATCGTTGTCGAAGGCTGCAGAGGTAGGAGAAATTGAAGATGATGTAGCATCGTTAGTTGAGAGACGTGAAGGAAGATTCGAAGGTAATGATGGAGGAGATGGACAGCAGTCTGAGGAAACTTGAGTGCTGGTAGAGTTGTGAGGGCGGTTGATACTTCCCGGTTGCTCACACCATGGAAGGTTATTTCTTCTTAAGGTACCTGAAAGAGATTTGTGTGACCGCAGAGCCCATCGGACATCTGCTTGAGGCCTGTCACACGCATCCTTTTGTGTATGATTATTTTGATTTTTTGTTGTTTTTGGGCCAGATGATCTAAAGGAAACGACAAATGAACCAACACCGCCGGCCCCGGAGGCAGTGGATTATGGTGGAGTGTGTTATTTTGAGGGAAGATCTTTTCTAACTTCCCTTCTACTGAGAAGGCAGCATCAGCATGGCACTGCTGGTCGTCCAAGGGAAACCTTACTGCTGTCACACCCCATCCAGCTTAGCAGGAGTACGACTTCGCCTTCAGACCCCCATCGTAGTGTAGCAATTTACATCACAACAGTAACTGCTTTTCATCTAACCAAAATTGAAGAGGTAGGATAAGAGTAGGGGAGAAAAGTTTTGAATGATCGACTCCGTAACATATTTTAAAAGTGGAAGGCTAGAGGGAACTACAACACAGTCACTACTGGTTTAAACATTGAGCCGTATCTATTGTCGTCTCAAACCACAGAGTTACATGATCGTTCGGACTTCATCCAGGGAGTTTTAAGGCATCAAAACTTGCTAACCTAATGCAGTTATCCTTCATCTCACCTCACTATGTCATATACTGACCACCTCTCCACTCCTCACAGCTATTTTCAGGGGTAGCAAACAGTGATTGATATAGAAGCTATCGGGACGACATTCGAGTGGTATCAATCCCTGACGAAAAACTATAATTCTGAGAAACCATCAATCACTACGGTTTTGTTCACTTTCAATCATTATCACCGTACACTACAATCAATCTGGTAACCATAGTTATTTCAAATAGTCTAAGGCATGGTTTTTATTTTTATTTTTTGTTTATTATATTACAAGTTCATTGTTTATAATAATTATAGTATTAAACTTTTAACGAGAAAATTAACTATAACAAATTCAAAATGATTGATCATAGTGTTGTCTGACATGGTTACATAAATGAAGGTTCACCTTTTTCACATTTCATGTTCAGAGCGAATTGTGATAAATCTGATTACATTTTTAAAATGTCCAACTCTGTTCAGGTGTATATTTATATCTCACTTAACTAAACTTTTGACTGAAGTAGCTCTGAACGATTTTAGTATCATCTGGTAAAACTTTATTTAGTCTCTATAAACTTCATGTCCATATGATAAGTAGTGGTTATTTTTGTTCAATGTACAGTGATTATGATGTGTGTAGCCTATGTGGCTAGACTTAGATAAAAAAAAACTATGGTTTCTTTGACTTAATTTTTTTAACCGGTTGGGTTCGAACCCTTCCCTCTTCTCCTTTGATAAAAGAGAGAATTTAAGACAAAGGCTAACGGTAATAACTTGACTATAGAAACTAAACAATAAAATTTTCAAAATAATGTGGATATATGCATTTTATTGTTACCTGAACTCTATGCGCGTCTATTTCCGTGCTCTTACGATGTCAATCTAAAAAGCTTGCAGTTACCTGAGTGAATTAAAAAGAGGATCGAGTACTTCATCAGTCTGTTTCATATCTTGATCTGGTCACTTTTATTATTCTGCTAGCCTAATCATACTTTAATTAACAAAGTTTGTCATCTCAAAAACTGATTTGTTTCTTTTATTTACGATTCTGCGAGCGATACCTAAATTATTCACATAGTGTTTTACTGTCAATGACCACATTTCGCAGTTATATATAAGGGGAAAAAAAAGCAGTGCTACTAAGTAAATTTGCTTCTCAATAGGCGTTTAGACATCATGCTGGTAATGTAAGTGTATAATTTAAGAAGAACTATTTGAACCTTTTATCTCCTTGGTGAGATCCCATGAGCCATTATATTTCCAGATTGATCCAGTTTCCTGATAAAATGAAGTGGTAAAGTCGCATAACTACTTCCGTCCATACTGTTAGATAATGTATCAATACAAACACATTCTGAAGAAACTATTCACATTTAGCAAGAAAGAAATGTAAATGATGGTCGTGGCTAGCAGTGGAATCCAGGATGCGCACTTCGTTCTATTTGGGACTCATCAGCTGGATGGGTGTGCCTGCACCCCAGTGAATGATATTGTTCCCATGGGGATTCAGACTTGGAAGCGATCGCTTCAAACGCCAGCGCGTTATCCACTACACCACCGAGCCACAATTCAGTTCAATCAACGATGGTATCATATAAAAGCCCTTATACTGAGAAATGTATACTAAATATTGTCAAAATGTCGCTTTTAGTGATCGGACGACTGTATATCAGAGTTTTCGTTTAATATAATTATATCGTTTTTCTTTAATAATCCCTTTTTTTGTTGTTGTTGAGGCTAAAGCTATTGCTCGTTACTCATAGAGATTGGTGGTGTGATTTAAATACTTGATCATAAATAATGACCAAATTTAAAGTTCCTCTGATTGCTCAAGATCATACTACTCTAGTCAGCAATCATTTTGTTATACTTATATTTTTGAACTGTAATCGAAGTGAAGTAATTGTATTACAGATATTGGGTGTAACATCTAGTGGTGGAGCTGTGCCTCATTGATTTAGCTTCTGACCAATAGGTCACAGGTTCGAAACCCTCTCCACCTACCGAGGTTTGGGCAGTCAGATAGTATCAATAATACACAATATTTGTGGCTCATTTTACCTGTTACACAAATATGCATATGATTGGTGAGTGCATTTCAACATTTGATACTTGATAATAACCTTCTCATTTAGAATTTTAATGAGGCACTTCATTCAAAGAAGTACTCTGAAAAATTAATTTCCTTGTATTGCATATTCTTTTTTTGTTTATATAGAAGCACCTTAGTGACCCAATATATTTTGGATTAAAACAGAAACGAGTCACAGGAGATGAATATGATGAGTTTATTGATGAATTTATGACAGCGTGTGTTGATGTGTAAGTTGTCTTTATAAGAAAATTAGTTTAACGTTGTTTCGTGTTTACATATGAATATACTGTGATTGTATGTGTTTTCCAAACGCCTGAAAATGTTTTCACTACTTTTGTTTTACTTTTAAATAGTTGATATGGTTTCGACTCAAGCCACTTGGTTTTCATCGGGAGAGTTGTAACACACTAACTGTTGCTAAACTAATACATCTTTTATAAACATCCAGGCCATAGTTTTTACGAATATCCTAAAAGAAGTTGAGTGACGAGTCAGGTTGATTCACTATATAGTTAGGCTTTTATATAATCCCAGCGTGTTTACAAAATCGAAAACAAAATTTTTTTCCTGAACATTTCACTGTGTATGCCACAGCTTCTTCAGCACAATATTCGGATTGTTATTCAACACCAAAATATATACTGTCAAAAGGTACATGTAGAAATTTCTGTCTTCATGTTATTGGTTAGCTGTTTTGTTATTCAGACTGATTGTTTCCAGTTAGTCATCATGAATTCATACTACAGTGTTTGTCATCATCTGTCATCAAAGAACGATTCAATAATCAGAATGTGAAGGTTTTATGTAAATTATATTTTAAAATTCTCTTTCAGGTGTTCTTTGAACAAGATAGTCTAGGAAATTCAACATTCCTGTACTCGATCCCGTTTCATTTGTAAATTTTTATGGAATTTGATAATGAGTTTAAATGTTGTAAAAGGCTTTCAAGTTCTGTTTTCTTGATAATCATAAAGGTATCATCTACATATCTACACCAAAACTTGGGTTGACAATCAAAACTATTTATAAAGCTCTTCCTTCGAATACTTTCACATGTAAACTAGCTATAATCTGGGATGCTGGTGAGACCATCACAACGCCATTAGTTTGACGGTATAACTTGTTCCTAAATGTAAAATATGTTGACTCTAAACATAATTTTAAGCATTTCATAATGTCTTCTGATGATGAAGGACATTCACTGAGTATTACTTGATCGTTATCATCAAGTAAACGATTTACAATATTAGGTGCATCAAGTATAGGAATACTTGCCATAATTTCTTCTTCTCTTATTGTGTTAACCATTAGTTTATTCTTGAATTCTTCTGAATTTCTAATATTAGAAGTAATCTCATGTTGCATTGGTTTCAATAATTTTGATAGACGATATGTTACTGAATTAGTGAAGTCCCCAACTAGTCTGAGTGGGATATCCACTTTATGTATTTTTTGTCAAATCAATAGTGATAACTAAAGCTGACAAAGGTAATGTCACAGTTATTCTAAGCAGTCAAGATTATGATGAGAAGGTATTGAAACATATTAATTCAGGTCCATATGAACCAACACCAACCATTAAGATCTCTAGCACACTGAACAAAATGAAAGCCGAAACATGCAATTTACTCAGACAGTTAAAACCGAAACTGGGGAATGCAACATGGTTTTCGTTAGCACCCAAGAAGAATTCAGCTGCAAGATTTTATGGTAGACAAAAAATATATAAAGTGGATATCCCACTCAGACTAGTTGGGGACTTCACTAATTCAGTAACATATCGTCTATCAAAATTATTGAAACCAATGCAACATGAGATTACTTCTAATATTAGAAATTCAGAAGAATTCAAGAATAAACTAATGGTTAACACAACATGTACCTTTTGACAGTATATATTTTGGTGTTGAATAACAATCCGAATATTGTGCTGAAGAAGCTGTGGCATACACAGTGAAATGTTCAGGAAAAAAATTTTGTTTTCGATTTTGTAAACACGCTGGGATTATATAAAAGCTTACCTATATAATGTATAACACATGTTTTGTTTCACTGTGATATATTATTCACTGACCACTTCTAGTCTCTTCTGTTTAGTCAACGAATCGTCTGACAGTGAACGGTATGAGATTTACTGGAATAACACACCCAAACCAATGAAGCCGTCGTTCGAAGATTTCATATATAAATAACCGTTTTCATAATGCTGTAATATTCGCCATCACATATCATAATGGTGGACTTAGTGCTTCTAGTTTTTGGTAAGAATCTTGCATAGACGGCTGCCACCAAATATATGGAGCTATTGAGTATCCTGAAGTCGGAAATTTCAAGTTTCTCAAGTGTAGAGCAGAACTGTCTCAACTGGAGGGTTGTATACTTCAGTTCCCATAGTTAGCCTATTGTCACAAGGGCTCCAGAGGTGACCCAGATTAGCCTTTGCTACTCTGACTTTCAATAAACGATTAGATTTCTCATTCGTTACACCCTCTCCACCACAGTTACCCGAAACACTAATTTTCTGATTATTTGCAACGGTTCAGTTGGAAGTTCGAGTGCTAACACTACCTCTTATCGTTCTGATCCAAAGTACTTTGCGCTTTACTGGCACAAACTGCTCACCATACTCACGAACACTGATTCCCTTTCGATCGATCCATATTTTGTCACACGGTGAGACGCTATTGTCCGTATACCTAAGATCCAACAGTCTTTAGTGTGTGGCCTACTAGACTGACACGAATTACGATAGGTTTTATGTTTTGTGTACCTGTTTGTTCGTCACTTAGATGTTTCAATGTAAACACTTCAACCGATACAATACTGTTGTACATTGTCCATTTCTCGACTAGCCGTGAAGTACATTTCTACTGGATTTTAAATGTTCATGGTTTAATTCACAGAGACGAATAGTGTTTTAAGTATAAAAGTACGACTTGTTGATTTCCAGTTGTTTGAGTTAAGAAGCCAACGGATGAAAAATATGTTATCGACAATGTAGAAGTTTTGGGCAGAGGGAACATGAAGAATATCAGAGAATTCCTAGAAGCTTGGCATTCAGGTCAGTTAGCAATCAACAGATGTATAGACATAGATCTAATCTATCAACCAGTCAGAAAAATGATAAACGAGAGAAAGGTTAGAGATCAAGCAGAGGAACAGCCAACAGGAAAATCTATACAGTCAATGACAAAACAATGATAGGAGACAACCAATCACAAACCAGTTCGTCAGAGCAAGCTACTGAAGCATCTGCAGAGAGATACTGACAGCTCACTGCATACTGAAGTTAGTGCTGATGATGTCATCTAGAAAGACGATGAAAGCTTCACGATTAAACAACCTAGCTCAGAGAACACAATACAACCAAAAATAATACTGTCTCGCTAATTGACAAAAGTAGAAAATTGTAAACTGTTAGGTTCCATCCCAGTGGCTAAATAGCAATATGCTCTCCATCTCGGGTTCGATACTTGACGGGGTTGTGGATGCAGACTTTTAAAGAGTTTTATGCTAGGACTAAACAGTTGTCTAGTGCCCCCAGGTTTTCACTGGTTCGCCAACTGATAACAGTTTGTGATGTAATAGTAATGCTGTATTTCCTTTTTTTAACCTGAGTGAATTTATGCATTCTGTTCTATCTAATTTTTATTTGACTGTTTTATGTAGATTTAATCGACAAGTCCTTATTCAGTTTGAAGATTTTGCAAATCACAATGCTTTCCGACTTTTACAAAAATATGCTCCTCACTATTGCACTTTCAACGATGATATACAAGTTAGTTGATTTTCTGCAGATAAATTACATATATATATATATATATATATATATATATATATATATATATATATAGTTGTATGTAAGAGTATTTATGAAGTCAGTTTTATATTGGCGGTCGAAACGACCTCGATGACTGATGTGAGTAGTTGGAAAAAACTCGTATGCATCAGAGCTGCTCGACAGCCGCTGTGTTAAGGAGTTGTAAACATAGGATGACGTTTTCGTCCGTTTGAGACTTGTCTCTAAGTATGGCAAATTATTCAGACTACCGCGAAACTTGTCCTGTGAGTTAGATAAGTTGGTAGAATGACACAACTAGATGTAGATGAAAAAAAATCCTTCATAACTTCTTCTGAAAACAAATGTATGATCTTTTGTTTAGTCTTTGATCTCTTATCATGGACTTTTCATTGACAGACGATAGACAAAATCCTCAGCACTAAAAAGTGAGACACACTCAGATATTACACGCGTTTTCACCGACCTCGACTGTTATCCGATCGTGTGTTATGAGAAAGATTTTTGTCACACCTTGACTTATTTAGCTTTAAATTTCATTCATTTGGGCTATTTGTGACTAACACTGTGCTTAATTACTGTTTGGTAAATATCCACTTAACTGACAGATGATTGACTTTTGATTGACTGCTAGACTTCTTGAAATTCTCTTCCAGCCTCTAAAGCTATCTCTTGTAGGACTTCTGTATTTTCCCAGTCAAATTTGTGACTGTGATTACCTACGTGCATTGAAATCAATGATGATATATCATACTGCTTTACCACTTGTTGGTCTTCGTGAATTTTTTGGGCTGTACAATGGCTAGATTGGTCAACGTAGTAATGTGGACAATGTTTGAAGTTGATCTTGTAAATTATATTCTTCCTGTCTTTTGATAACGGATCCTTCAGCTTTGGTTTATACACCACTCCGATCCCGAACGCAAGAAGCCACCGGTTTACAATTCCTGAAATATTCTAGATGAAAAGTTGAATAGCATGCTTACTGATTCATATTGTTCTATGTTCTGCAGCCCAACAGTCTCCGAAGTGCTTCGGTGCTGTAAAGAATATTCGCTGTTGTAAGTAATGTTTGCACACAACACTAGTTATGGATTGTAGGATTTTTACTGTTATAACCCACAATATGACCGGTTTATGTGGTTCTCCTGCACATTTAAGGTTTTGCAAGGTTGCATCTTACATCCTTCTAGTGATGAAATCCAAGAATTGGATTTCGTCGTTTGGAAACCACCGACACCTACCAACCGTAACTACTAGTTCCGGTTAATGAATTCAATATCCATTAACGGTTTGATAATAATCTGGCAAATATCAGCTGGGCTAATATCGATTGTCGTGGTTCACAATGCCTGTTAACCGTTTTATCCTTGTCCTGAGACATTTTCGTGTATGCGTATATCTGTAACCCCTCTGACAGTCGAAGTAAATAAACTCAAGTTCTTTAGAAATGAGTTTGAGTGTGAAAACATTAATCGATAAATGAGAATTGAAGTTCCAAGACTTAGTATAATTTGTTCAGTGGTGACTTCTTTAGGAAAGGTTAATCGGTGCTAGGGAATTAAGAAATTGTGAAATCACTTTCGAAATTATTGACCTAATTACCCAAATAATGAGATTCATGAAACCAATCATTTTATGTTTAAAATATAATGCTTCTGATGACTTTCATATCATATTTTTCACTTCCGTAGACGGCGAAACGTAGGGCATACAGTACATATATGGCTTATCCTGAGATGTACTTTCTGAAGTTGTAGTGATACACCACAACTAATTCGGTCAACCAAGTCAGTTTTAAGGACAAATACTCACCCTGATGGGTGTTAAATGATATTCTCGCAATACATCAGACTGACAAAATCTAAAATCGTGGACCTTTTGATTTTAACCCAGTGATTGAACGACAAAATTCAGACTAAAAGATGTTTACTGGTTTTAGGTTTGTTCCTACATATTGTGCTTCCTAATCAGTATTAGTCTATGATAAGAACTTCTTTGATATCCAATAAACCTCTAAAGTGCGTATATATGTTTTGTCTTGTGATAAGCTTTTCTGTTGACTTGAATTTCTCATCTCATCTCCTCTACAATATAACTTACAATGGTATATATCCTTAATGTTTTTCAACATTTTGATTTTTTTTTTTAGATATTTGTGTAAATCACTCGGTTTATTTATTTATTCTAAGATAGTCTTGGTACAAAATAGGTACAAAAGACTCCTTATACAAAGTAATACAATTCATTATCTCAGTAGATGTGTATGCATCAGACAATTAGTGACACAAAATGTGTAACAGCTTATGATAGTACCCACTTGTCGAAGTTGAAATAAATGGCAATAGACAGCTGGGTGATTCATTGGTTAGGTAATTGAAATCTTAAGTGAGTGAGTTGTACCTCCACTCTATCCTTTATTTGATAACCTCTATCTGTTTCGATACATTTAGTTTAATTTTGTTGAACTAATTAGGATTTTATTCGTAAAGTTGGTACTCAAATACACACCATCCGACTGATAACTGCTACCTTGACATGTTGGTCAGGCTTGGGTATCACAATAACCCAACGAGGTATACTGGTAGAATACTTGCTTCTTAGAGGTCCTGCCATACTAGAATAGCCAGTTAGACGGTAGTCAGACGAAAAGAATTTATCGTTATAATGTTAATTGCTACGCTATAATAGGTTTCAGAGGGCGAAGTCATGCTGCTGACTGGATGAGGGTGGGGTGTGTGAAAACGGTAAGCTGTTTCTCACAGATGACTATTAGTACCGTGCTGCCTTCCCTATAAGAAGGGGGGGGGGTAGAAAAGATGGACCCTAAAATAGCACATTGTCTTCTACTCCGTAGTATGCTGGTGTCGGCGATATGCGTTCATAGTCGGAGTCGAAACTAGCAGATTTAAACTTTAAGCTCTTTAAAAGGTCACATTTGACCGACCTCAAACAGATGTCCCTTGGACTGTGAGGTCACGCACTAACTCTTCTTCAAGTACCTTCCACAGTGTCAGCACTCAATTCCCCTCAGATCATTATCAATCTTCTATACCCTCACCTTCTAATCTTCCTTCGCTTCTCTCGATCAACATTCCTACTTAATTAGATACACATCTAGGCCACCCACAGTGGTCAGTAGTGCTCGCTAGCCAGATAAGGGTGATTTGAACACTGGATGGCTGTTTGTGGTCGGGCACCTCAACAGCGTTCCCGGGTTGATTCAGCTTAGAGAACCGAATGGTCTATTGTGACTTCAAATCAATATATATATATATATATATATATATATATATATATGCACAGTAGGTAGTGAGCCATATACATTATGTTAGGACTATTGATGATACTACCTGACTGCTTAAACCTTAGTAGGTGGAGTGGGGTTCGAACCCTTTACCCGGTGGTTGAAGGCCATCTCCTTAGACCAACGCTCTACAGATTCACGATATGATGATAGATGGTGTATGAAAATATATTGATACTGTAATTTTGGATATTCCTCTAAAGAAGCTTGAACAAGATTTTTGTGTGAAACATTGGAGTTATCTGATTTCAAACGTGCTGATGTTTGTACAAGCGTAACCTATGCCATAGGACAACTTTTCCTTCGGCACCCAATTTTGGGCACTATTTTATTCGGTTACTTTATCCTCAGCTGCATATAACCTAATTTACAAAAGACTACTACATACTTCGATTCACTGGAAATAAGTTTGATCTGTGGTTAAAACCAATACACTGTTGTAAGTGGTCCTGATAAAGCCTTCAAAGAAGGTAAGGAAGCATATCGAGATATCGTGATTATATGCATTCTACGAGTGAAAGTTCTTAGAAGAAGAACAAGGGTAGCGACAGAAATTATGAGGTTGAGAATTTAAGATGATGTGGGATAAGAAAATGTGTGAAATTCACTGTGAAGCAAACATAGTTTAATGAAACATGAGATAACAAACTAGAAAAGAAAGTTTAGATATACATTTACGTATGAGGATTATGCAACCGGACAAGAGTTAGAATTGAGAAATCAGGTTATTAGAATAGAGGGAAGCTGGTAACTATTTTCTTTTGAATGCACAAGTTAGCCTTCGGATGTTTGATAACCTTTACCTCAGCGAACCGTGGAAGACTTAATTCATTCTGTCTGAAATACTTCAACACGTTTACCTGATGTCGTGTATCGATCAAATGATGAGCGACTGCACCATCCAAAATACTTTTTTGTCTGAGTTGTAAACTTTTCAGAATACGTCTAGTAAATCCAATACAGACGCTTTTTCGTATTGTCCCAAGGTGTATGTTTTGAAAATATGTTTAAGTATACCACTCATTGGGAGGTAACAATATAAGGGGTACCTATCAACCCCAGATTGTAATAATGAACACGTAGCCTGGTAAATGAAAGTCAACCTAGCGGTAGGATAAGTTCTGGCAAACACTGTCTTCAATCTTCTGTGTGCTGTCCCTGCAATAACATCTTTTAAGGTGATGTGTATGAAGATAGGCGTTTTATTCATTGTAATTTTCCATAAAGATTTTTATTCATACAGGATTCAGCAAACTCTGCGTTGTCACTTTATCAGTTTGAAAGTGGAAATTGTGGTTGAACTGAAGGTATATCGGACCCTATTAAAATACAGAATCATTGGATTAGCAGACCGTCATCGTTGAACTTAACATGAATTGAAACCTTAGAGATTGTGTATGAATCTAATTGTTGTGAAAATATCATTTCTTGTTTTCATCGCTTTAGATATCGAAGGGAGTTGTACAATAACCTAGTTATTGTTTTTTATTCTTTAGATATTCCTCAACCCATTGACATCAGGTAAAGAAAACCAAAGAGAGAGCAGTGTATAGCTATTTCGTTCAAGTTTAGTAGTCGTCAACAGTGTTCATCCACAAGTAAAATCCAAGGCTATCAGACGTCATGTATGACACGACATCATTCGTGATTATAACATTTCACTATTATTTTCATCATTATAATCGTCTAATATATTTGCATACTATACAGATATGCCTAAATAGTCTTCTTATAGAGTTCACCCGTGTAATGCTTAACTCAGTGTATAATCCACATGAATTATTCTGGATTATATTGTATGATCTACTGTGTAACCAACTGATTTCTATGATTTTTATTTTTCAGCAATTTGACACGAAGTGTTTCAATGTGTTAATCCTTTCATGCATACTATGCATGCTTGTTGGATATTGCTATTTCCGTAATCGATCTTATTTTTTTTTATGTATAGACCACTCACCTCGTAACTCAATTGGTAGAACACCAAGTCGGTAACCCCTGTGGTCACTAGTTCGAATTGAACCGCGGTCCAAATTTTCATTTCACCTTCAATCATCACCCACTATCACTTACCTTGTGTTCGATGTTTTATGTCTCTGCATAGTACTCATTATTGACCTAAGAAGTAATGGCAAAAAGGGTCATCAATCTGATGAATTCAGTCCAAAGTTTTAGTGAAAACCAGTGGTAACAGTAGGGCACAGATTAACCATCCATGCTGAAAATATTAATCACTCACATTGAGTACAGTGATCAACTTTAAAGACCATCCTAGCAACGATCGAAATAACCAATTAAGTTTCTTCATTCCAGCTGAAAGGGCAGATTTTCATAAAATCGAGAAGTCTGGTTGGTTGTTTCAATTGTTGCTGGGGTGGCCTTTAAAGTCATTTAGTATAGTGGTGATATTCTGTCTTTGTACAGCTGTAACTCGTTGATTTAGATATTCTGATTTCAATAATTGAATGTGGAATTTGAACCCGGAGTTCTTTCCACTCTGAAGTCTGAGGAAAGATTTAGTACTATAATTCACCTTCACACAGTCTGTATGGCTTATGGGATTTAGTCAACAAGCGTCCGTGGATCTAGTTTTCGTGCTTTTTAAGAGTCAGCAGCAGCGTGTATCTGCAATCGTTAGAGGGGTTATTTTTCTCCAGAGATTTCGATCGTAGGTTCAGAACTTTCTGTCTTATCGACTACTAATGATGCATACTCAATATTCTAACACCACCATTAGGTATCACGGAATATGGGAGTTTCTTGAAAATATTAGTTAATAATAATAATGATAATAATCGCTTCATTCCAAACAATATTTATGGCAGTATGGAATTCTCAGCATGTAATTTTTCAACAAATTCACTCCTAGAACAATACTTTCAAATAAAACTGTTATTGGATTGGAATGATGTTAATCATAACAGTATTCAAGGCAATAATGTGGAATAGCCAGCTGGTTCTGAATGGGCATCCAGTCTATAATGAAGAATCAATAGAAATGCAAGCGTAACTGTGGTGGTGGTGGTTCATTCAGACAGTGCAAATATCTGCAACTCAAGCTAGGCATCTAACGAATAGAAATTTGATGCATTTTTTTCAAACCGAAAAGTCCACTTCCATGTAACGAAACATTTTTCCTTTCCCTTGTTATTGACTCGAGAAACGAAGGGTTGGAAACAGTTTAAAAATGTTCAAGAGTACATGATGCGTTCACAGGATATATTTAAATGATTGAAACAAATTGAAAGGAAAGAATTTGATGAAAAATGTTCGATGGTTCAAGCAGGTCGCCAATAGATGATGAACATCGTATATTGTTATTTTCTGATATACTTTATAAAATAACTTCATATCATTGTCCACAGTGACCATTACATTACTATTAGCACTAAACAGTTTTGTAGAATATCTCATCATATGATGTATCCGATAAGCAAGTCAATGTATTGTGAACATGTTTTCATCTTCAAGATGATTGGTGTACCGTTATTCATAAACTGTTCGATTTATTTCCTCATTTACTCATAAGATTGACAGCATTTCCTCCTTACTTGTTGCCTTCTGCTTATATTTCATAACCAATGATATAATCTGTCATAACTGAAAAGTCAACTTCAGATAACGCCTCATCACTGGGTTGATGTGATAGGGAATTGGCAAACTGTAGAGGCAGATACTTTGAGCTAGTCACAATTCATACATCATTTTTTCTTTCTATCCATCAGTTCTGTAGAACATTTTTCATTGATTTACTAATTTCAGTATAATACAATCACTGCTGTCGAGAATAATTGTGTGTTGCCTATTCAGTGTTTACAATTTGTTCAATTTTTTGTTGCTATTTCATTAGGGTACAGCATCCGTTGTTTTAGCTGCTTTGCTTGCTTCATTGAAAGTAACTGGACGAAAGCTGACTGAAGAGAAAATTGTTTGTTATGGTGCTGGTGAAGCAAATCTTGGATTCGCTCATCTAGTTTGTTTAGCATTGAATAAAACCTATGGTTTGACAATAGAAGAAGCACGCAAAAATATCTATCTTATTGATAGCAAGGGTTTAGTGGTTGATGGCCGTAAGAGTGGTGGTATCAACAGTCAAAAATTGGAATTTGCGCGTCCTCCTGGAACACCGGAGTTGACGTCACTGGAAGAAGTAAGTACATATATATATATTACATTTATATGTATTAAATTCCATTCACATTGAGATATTATTGTTTTATCCTGGATGGTAGTGATTGAAGGTGAGCTGAAAATCTGAACCACTGCCGGACTTGAACCAGCGACCACCAGGTTACCGGCCCGGTGTTCTACCAACTGAGCTATGAGGTCCGGGCCGGTGACCCGGCAGTCGTCGGTTCGAGTCCGGCCACGGTCGAGATTTTCATCTCACCTTTAATCATCACCCAGTATAAAATACTAGTCTGCCAAACTACGGCCATCTCAGATAGTCAAATGATAATAGTGTTGTTTGTTGATGATTGTAATTGAGTAACTGTCCTCATGTTCGACCTGGTAGACCCCACTGGTCACGACTTTCCATTGGGACTTGGCGAATCACCTCTCGAAAGTAGACACTAATGAGCACTAGATTAGCTGAATTTTGTGGATTGTGGGGATTTATTAATTAATTTCAGGTTGGTATTCATCGTGGACTGATATCATTTGGAGAAACATTGGAAACCTGGAAGCCCTGGACAGCTGTTTCGTCCTAGTATGGGACTCCCTGGCAGTGCACGGTAACGACTCTACCTCACCAAGGATCGAACCCACGACCTTCAGGTTACTCGGCCAACACGTTACTGTGTATCCACTGTGTTGGAATCAACAACGATATCAGATTGAGGTCGCGCTATATTGTGAACTGTCGGAAGTAAGAAATACAAACTAATAAATAAATCCCTACAAACCATGAAATTGAGTTACTCTAGTGCTCATTGGTGCCTACTTTCGAGAGGTGATTCGCGAAGTTCCAATGAAAAGTCGTGACCAGTGGGGCTTACCAGGTCGAACATGAGGACAGTTACTCAATTATAAGGATGTGGATGCCTTGATATTACCTGAATATTTATTATTATGACTGACTTGGTTGTGGCTAGCAGTGGAATGTAGGACGCGCGTTTTGTCTTGCTTGGACCCCATCAGCTGGATGTGCCTCTACTTCACTGAATGATGTTACGCCAACCGAAACTCGAATCTCGTACCATCACTTCTAACGTTAAAGCGTTATCCACTAGGCCACTGAGGTACAATGGGCATTAGTTATTACTAATTTTTAATACTTGTAATTCTTTGCTGTTATACTGGACTGAAGTGATCGATCTCTGTTGACGTATAGGCTAAGTTTAAATATTCTTCATCTGACGAAAGACTAGTCCAGTTTGCGGCATGGGAATGCGCTCATTTTCCTTGTACGCATTTGTGCACTAGGTAGCGTGCCATATCTATTATGCGAGAAATGTTGATGACACTACCTGACTGCCTAAACCTGGGTAGGTGGAGTTGGGTTCAAACTCTTCACCCGTTACTTGAAAATCATTTCCTTAGAACAGTGAGCCACAGCTTCACAGTCTAGTTTATAGTATTCTCCGACAGACATTGACAGATGTAATTATTACAATTTCAGTAAAAAAGACCGGCAATTTCATCAGAAACGTTTTGAACATTTTAGGCAATGCATTTGTTACAGTCATCTTTTACAAAGCTAATTCCAAGTAATTGGGATTTAGCTTGTCAGGATTCCCTTCTACTAAAGAAAACTTTAGTTAGTCTCTACTGGTATTAAAAAGTACAACACCTCAAGTTACTTTGTCAAAGAGTTTTACTTTTCCGTTGAACGCAATTATTCGGACAGAAATATTTCTAGAACTAAAAATTGGCAGGTAAACAGATCTAAGTATTACTTTATCATATCTCGAAGACCTCAGCAAAATTCCTTGCATATCCCTACATGATTAAAAACAATACCCTTACATTCATACTATATTTCGATCTGATTATCCTAACATTTTTTGTTTTACTGATTTGCGTTTTTATAATACGCTAGGTATATTACTTTTGATACTTGTTTTATAGTTATAATGAATAGGTTTACTAACAAGTTACTAAGACGCGGTTGACTGTTCCTCGTATTATATTACGATATACAGTTTTACAGATCTTATCAAACATCTATAGTTCATTTCTTGACATACTTGAAATTCTTCGTTGTTTTATTGGATTGAATTGTTCGACCTTTATTGGCATTTGAAGCTATGGGTACGAGGTTCAAGTCTCTGTGGGAACAGCATCACTCACGGAGGTGCAGATACATCTAGCCGACGAGTTCCAAGTGGGGCGAAACGCGTGTCCTGGATTCTTCTAATAGCCACAACTAAACAAATCTATGGTTTTTGCATTTTCTTTTTTAACATTCAGATTATCACATTTTCAAAGTGTACATCATTAATTGGTGCAGCTGCTATACCAAACGTATTCAATGAACGTATTTTAAATTTAATGGCTGAAATGAATGAGAAACCAGTTATTATGGCTTTGAGTAATCCAACAACGAAAGCTGAATGTACAGCTGAAGAAGCTTATCGTCATACACATGTAAGAAGTACCTTCTTTTTTCTGTTTAGCTTTCTTTATTTTCAAGTTGTTATTCATCGAAGACTGACATCAGTTGGAGGAACAAAGGAAACCTGGAAGCACTGGACAGCTGTCTCATCCTAGTATGGGACTCCTCAGCAGTGCGCACCCACGACCCCACCAGCAGGGATCGAACCCGCGACCTTCACGTTCCGCGGCCAGCGCGTTACCATTGAGCCACTGGGTCACAATCCAATGCTCCATATTTCCAACTTCTGTTAGCTCACGATATAGCGCAAACCGCCACCCAATGTCATCGTTGAGTATTTGTCCTCACGGCCATCAGGCTTTGACTCCACCGGTCACGACTTGTCATTGGAACTTCGGGAATACTTCTCGAAACTAGTCACCAATGAGCACCAGTTCAATTAAATTTTTTTGAGGGAGTTGTGGAGATTTGGAAATATTTCAAGTTGTTATTCATCGAAGACTGACATCAGTTTCTTTATTTTCTTTGTAATTTTTGTACACTCATGTAATCATGCCTGCTTGATTACCTCCCTTTCTTCTTAGTCTGCTTGAATATTTTTTGGGAATTAGCCTTTGTTAAAAATTCTCACATTAATGTAAGTATAAGACTTGAGCACTGTGGTAGAATGTAATTCCATATTAGATTTGTTTATCTGATATAGCCAGCACACAATGATAGAGTATTTTTTTTACTTGATGACGACGTTTCGAGTAATAATTATTGCTCACAATCATATCGATGTCATCACACTCCTCTCACCCACCTCATATTCTTTGCTTTTATTGGTAGTAAAATTTAGCATATCTCTGGTGTAGGTGTTGCATCATGCCTATTACATGTGTTGGGTGTTGATTCGATGAGAAAAGCTCCAGTAATCAATCTCTCTCGCCACCTAATTATATTGGACTCAAGTATAGTGATTTTATCCCACCCAACTTATTGTGTGGTTGTGTGTTAATGTATACATTGTAATTGCCGAGTGTTTTTCTGGATTGTTGATCTTAAAGAGGTCTTTCCTTCAGGAAAAAATATATAGGAGAACAGAAGGAGTAGCAATGGGATCACCAGTATCCCCAATCGTAGCAGATATAATTATGGATAGTTGGGAAGAGATGGTTTTACTAACGTATAATCCTGCACCTAAGATATGGTGGTGACATATGGATGACACACTTACTTTGTTGAAATGTAAACTCAGTAGTGGGTGCAATCCAATTAACTTATGAAGTAAAAAATGGAAAAGGAGAATTACGTATGTTGGATTGCAGAATAAAATGAAGAATAGACGGTGGTTTGGATACTATCGTCTACAGGAAACCGACACATTTTAACAGGTATCTAGACTTAAAATCATCTCATTCGATGTCAGTTAAGGCAGGTTTAGTCAAGTTACTGAATGACAGAGCTACAAAACCCACTAGTTAGTGTAAGGACTTAAATAAGGAATTGAAACACAAAAGAAGCGTTAATAGTTAACAGCTACTGTCTAACGTTTACTAGGAATTCGTACAAACACATAAGAAACAAGATAATGACAGTAATACGAATACAAGTAATGGCGACAACAAGAGTATAAATAAGTTAAAAGCCTCTACAGTGTTACCCTATAAAGAAACAATACCAGAAACCTTACGTCGGATTCTCAACAAGGTTGGAATTAGGGTAGCATTCAGGCTTACAAGCTCACTCAGACGGAGATAAGCTTTGTCAGCTTAAGGATTCGATAGAACAAGTTCAGCAAAATAATCTAATTTATCAAATTCCATGTAATGACTGTGAGGTCAAGTACATAGGTCGAACTAGCCGATCTGGGTGAGTTAGAATACCGGACGGAACATGGGAATTTAGGTAAATACAGAATGACAGACCTGAAAAAGATCAATAATGTAAAAGAAAACTGGGCTACTGCAATGGATGTATTAACACACACACCACACAATAGGTTGGATGGGATAAAATCACTATACTTGAGTCCAATATAACTAGAGGAAGAGAGAGAGAGAGAGAACACTGAAGCTTTGTTCATCGAATCTACATCCAACAGATGTAATAGGAATGATGCAATACCTACACCAGAGATATGGAAGATTTTACTACGAATAAAAACAAATAATATGAGGTGGGTGAGATGACTATAAAAGTCAGATATTGAAAGGATTGTGATCACATTGATGTGATTATGAGCAATAATTATTACTCGAAACATCATCATCAAGTAAATAATACTCTATCTTTGTGCGCTTTATATAAAATAAATATATATAATCTGGAAAAGTTCTCACAGTAGGATTTTCAATAAAGCTGTAGTGGGGAATACATATCTATCAAGATATCGATGTTCAGGTTGAGTTGCTGTTTGAGCTGTAGTTTTGATCGGCAAGCGTTCTAGTATCACGCTAGGGATCACCGTTAGTCCGCCAATCTATTCAAGGAACCATTGTTGGATCAATGATGACATCCAGGATGACATTAAAACGTTTGCCAATCAAAAGCCATCAGCTCATAGGACAACTCAATTTGAACGATTTTTAACGTACTAGATAGTAATTATTCACTTAATTGGAACGTTGAGATATTAAGTGTGTACCCATAAAATTCGCTTTTTATGAGTGATTATTAATTCTAAGTTGAGATGGACTGTCTTTTTGGGATGCTTCAGAAATTCACTTTTAGTTTTGGATATATCAGTCTGTATCCATCGGTGCCACAGTTTTCGACTAAATTGATCTTTTCTTCGAGGTCCTACCATTGAAGCGTAAAATATAACCAATTAGGGTTGCTTTCATGAATTTAAGGTATGTTATACACATTGTTATGCCTTACTTTTTTATATCTTCTACATTCTCTCCGTTTGGCGATTGCGTTCTTTTTGGCGAAATCAAAACTGCTGGATGTAGGATTAGTTGTATGATTGAAGAAATTCTTCACTTTTCTTTCATAGAAATCACTTAACTTTACTATCGTCAAGACTCCAAAGTTTCTTCGTTGTCGCTTAACTCAAGAACCCTAAAGCCTGATTGACAAAGAGATAGATACTTCTAAACAAATGGTTATTTTATGAAGAATTGATTGATTTCAAGGCAGATTTCATCACGTATTGACACCACTTAAAGAACTAATGAAAGCTTACGGGTACTAGTTAACTGTTTCATCATGAGACCTGATTTTCCCAGGTTGAATTTCCCATAGGATGAAGGAAATGATGAACTTAGCATACACACTGAGAAACGAATTACGTTTATTGTGTGAGTAACTGATTATATTGTCTAGTGGTTATCCAAAGTTCAATAAGTAGAGCGTGATTCAAGTCTAGTCACTCATCCGTTTAAAGTTTAGTCTTCTTATTAATCTATTACAAAAGCTACGTGAATATATGAACAGAAATAAAACGTTATACATTTACATATCCTTCTAGTCTTCTATGGTTCATATCAACTCATCAAATGAAAGTTAGCAGAAAGACAGGAAAATAAAAAGAAGATATCAAGTCGTAAAATGACTAGAAGGCAAAAGAATGATAAAATGAATAAGATACTCAATAAAGTTTTCAAAATTGATGGAGATGTAATATTAGTGTACTTCTGCCCCTATGGTTAATTCCATGATATATTGTCTAATGTCTGTAAGTGTCAACCACGGTTATCGCATGAACGTCAACTAGAAATCCTATATACTATTTTGTGATTCACATCAACAGTCGTAGACTTTTTCAATTAGTGTAATACCTTGATTTCACGATCATCATCTTTAGTTCAAGCAAATCATAGTTCATTAGACTAGGTTATAGTTCGATATACATAGCATATCTTATTTTTTGGGTTCACTAAGACACAAGTATTATCTTTTTTTTAAGTAAAGTAACACACCTCTGTGGCTAATTTACAGAAAGGTTGTGCTAAACGAGTTCTAGTGAAACTGTAAACTATAACAATATTATGGTTACTATAAATAAGTTGTCTTGTTGACATTCATTCGCTACTTTCCAAATCTTTCTAGTATTTTCATTCAGAACTTGTTAGTTGATGAAATGGTTTGTTTTAAAGTTGTCATCAAAGCTCTGATTACTGCAACAAAACCGTGTTACATAATGACAGAAGTGTTTGGAAATCATCTACTTCTACCACTACGAGATACCATTCCTCCGACCTACAGCAATGCATGAAAAATATACCTATTCCGAAATTTTCATACATAGTTTCTTGCTTAATTTTGCTCAGCGAAATAAATTATTATGACCTTATTTCATATTATCGTTTCGCCTCAATTAGTCTTTGTCCAACGATTGTTGGGTAGCGATTTTGGATTTCAACTGATTTTGGTGTCATCAGTTTATTCAATCGTTTCCGTGTTAAAAGGATTAGTATCAGTAAGCTTAATATGGTTTTTCCCAGTGGAAACCGTTTTAACTCCGTAGTATTTCTCTAAAGGACTCAGTATTTATGAGAAAATTGATTAAAATTTACCAAGCCTTAGACAGTCGGGTAGTGTCACTATTCCTCACATTATGTTTGATCTCCACATACAGTACAAAGCAGTATTGATAGAACTGTTTGCTTGTGAATTACTTTTCATGCTTCCCTTCAATTTTTAACTCAGTTGAAAGTAAATTTGTCTTAATTCGCAAATACTTTTTCCCATTTTTTTAGGGTCGATGCGTGTTTGCCAGTGGTAGTCCATTCCTACCGCTTACTATGACACCACAACAATGTCCAGAATTAAAGGAGTCGATATCACGTTGTCCAGGACAAGCAAACAATTCTTACATATTTCCAGGTGTTGCCTTAGCAATTGTTAGTGGACAAATATTTCCTGTTACTAATGAAGATTTCTTAGTTGCATCTGAGGTGAGGAATTCACTTTCTATTTGTTTTTATACGTTTAATAAATACAATTTGAAGTTCTTGGGGATTTATTTCCAGATGGTATTCGTCACGAACTGACAGCTGTCGAATCATCGGAAATTTGGGAGCTTTGGACAACTATTCCATCCTAGCATGAGACTCCTGAACAACACACAGCAGTGACACCTCCAAGGATCGAACTCAGGACTTTCAAGTCTTTCAGTGAGCTCGTTACCATTCGGTCACTGTGTTGGAGTTTGTTGACCCACATTTTCTTACTGATGTTAGTTTGTGATGAAATACCACCTTGAAATATAAATTCATAAATGTATTTTACTACTTCTCTTGGTTATCGTCATCTACCATATATCATGTAAGTATTTATCATTTTAATCGTAGTACTGTCGTGGCCGGTGGGGGCAAAGCGTGATGGTCATGAGGACAGTTACTCAACGATGACATTGGGTGGCGCTTGCGCTATATTATGAGCTAACAAAAGTTGGAAATATGGACCATTGGATTCTGACCCAGTGGATGAATGGTAACGTGCTGGCCACGGAACGTGAAGGTCGCGGGTTCTATCCCTGGTGGGGTCGTGAGTGCGCACTGCTGAGTAGTCCCACACTAAGACGAAACAACTGTCCAGTGCTCCCAGGTTACCTCTGTTCCTCCAACTGATGTCAGTCTACGATGAATAACAACTTGAAATATTTCCGAATTCCTACAACTCCCTTAAAATTCAGATAAATTTGTGATTAGCGCCATGTCTGAATAAATGCTAATCAGTTGATAAATATCTCGGTGAATTTTGATTTCCTCCTCCAGATTCATCATCCAGTCTTCGGTACTTACCAGATACTTAGCTTATTTTAGGTGTTTGGATGTACTGTTTTACTTTGGAGATTTGTACCAGTAGTCGGGGAAATACTGTGATACTGACTATTTTTCATAAGTGTATAACAAATAAAATTTCCTAAAATCCAACCCAATAATTGAAGGTAATTGTGACACTTTTAAAAAGTTGAATTAATGATGATGTTGAATATATTCCACTTTGTTATGTTTAGAAAGTATGAAATAAGCAAAACATCCATTCCTTACCAGTTACTTTCATGTGAACCCTGTAGATGATAGCTCACTGTTAATGACAATATTTCCATCAGTGTTTGAGTACAAGATTTAAAACAGTTTGAGAGAAATAGCATCTCAATCAACACAGTCGAATACCACCTTCAGATCAAAAAATTGTTAACATTTCGCTTCGTAGTACATATTTCAATGTCCTAAAGAGTATGGATGTAATCTGTATTACCTACGGCTGTAAGATTTTAAAAATTATGTTATTCCAGCTTATTCCTCTGTTGGTGTTACAAAAAGATTTTTTCTTTTTTGTACAGACTAGAAAGATAAACGAAAGAATAGTGTTTAACTCTCCTATTCTTGCTAATAATCCTCAGATGTCATCTTTGAGTAGCTTTTATGATAGTCCGTTAGGATGTGATGCAGTTCCACATTTAAGGTTACCTACAACATTTTCAAATTTGACAAACGTTTCCTGCTTCATTTCATTATCCTATTCAAAGTATGATAGCTAAAAGAGATTTGAACTATTTTTGATTGGGTTGTCAGCTAACCTGGATACGTTGTTGTATATCTGCTGATTATCATCTTATTTATGAAGGCAGTGGGATGGGACATTTTGCCACCGAGTTTACCAACCAACATTATTTTACTTATCTATTGGATTGAATGAACAGTGCGAACTAATGTGTCGTCACCTGTTAGCTTATTCATCTGGAAGCATACATTTTACAGACCTGCATATAAAACTGGTATTCACTTTATTAGGTTGTAACTTCAACTTTTTTCTTTTTTCTTAAACTTTTTTTCTAGACACTTGCAAATTTAGTTACTGAGTCTGATTATTCAGTTGGACGATTATTCCCTCCACTAAGTGATATTAAGCGTGTTTCTTCGGAAATGGCTATGAAGATTGTTAAAAATGCAAGCAGTCAAGGTCGTTGTCGTGTTTTGAAGTTAAACACTATCATGGATAATTCAACAATTGAAGAATTAATATCAAACTTTTCATATTATCCACAAATAGAATAAATCTATTCGCATAATATTATAATTCTTTTGGTTGTGAACTAATTCGTTTTAAATAGATAACTGATTACTTAAATGATAAGAAAAATACATGAACTTTCGTATTTGGATTTACATTTTCAATATACTTGTCGAATAATTTTCTCTTTCAATAGATCGGATATTTTTAAAATAAAATATACTAATTAGATTTGTTTACAGCCGGAGATCGGCAGTAGGAAGAGGTTTTATCATCTTTTTGTGGATTTTAATGTAACCTCCAGGTTTCCTCATCAGTTATCTTTAATTGTCAGTGTATTACTGTAATCAGCATTTGACTTGTATCACTTTGACTAAATGATCAAACGTGGCATTAATGAAATTATCCTGACTGTTGGTATACACTATATAGGGAAGTAGAAACGTTACGATTTTCAAAATTGATTAGTGGAGAATTAGATTAACAACCAATCAAAATGTATTTTATGTGTTATCACGTCTATAATTAGACAAACAGAAGGTGGATTAACCAATCGATAGGGTTAGCTTTGTTTTAGTCTTCAGTCTTTCAACCCGAATACATGTTTCTACACGTCCATTGTGTCTTCTCTATTGATTACTCTGATAGGGAATCAACTAGAATTTTGTTGAACATTGATGGTTAACACTTGATATCTGTGCATCGTTAGTATCCATAACACATAACGGCTTGCAAATTTCAACAACAGCTCAGCATCAAAGTTCAAAATTACATCTATCTGTTATCTTACTTCAATTATTAAACTAAATAGTGACTGGAAGTAAGTGGTATTCATCTGCTGTGTTAAGTACGCTGAAATTTTTTTTGAATATTTTCATTGTGATATTCGAAATGTGTGCAACTTATCAGATGTTGTTCTCCACTCCAAGTAGACACACACATACAATGATTGAAGAAAATGTAGTGCTATAATCACCTTGCTAAGAGAAATTCTGGTAAATTTTCCACTGATTATTACTACCTACCAAATTTTTTTCTAACAAGAAGAATGGGATAAATAATACAGAAAACGATTTTGTTCACTAAGAGAATTACATTGACTCAAGTAGCTGAAGTGTTATCTCATGATGGATAATGATATCAACATAACTTGATATTTACTTCCATTTACTAGATTGATAAAATAATTATGGAATACAATGAAGTTATGCTCTTTGAAAGTTTTTAGAAGTAGTTAAACTACAAGTTGTATTCATATGACGAAAATGTTATGAGATAAAATTGCATCATCTTATTCTGAAAATAATAGAACAGAGTATAGAATGGCAGTCAACTCTACACCTCAACTTCATCGACTTTGACAGCGTCGACGGAGAAATAATTTGGCATTTGCTTCAACAACTATATGAAGACGCCACATACCAGCTAAGTCATTCACAATGGGAAGCTCAATGATGCTTTTGAAGTGAAGACAGAAGTGAAACAAGGCTGCCTACTATCACCCATGATATTCGTGATTGTAGTGGACTGGTTCATGCAACAAACAGTGAGGAGGGAGAACAGGGGGATATGCTGAACCAGGGAAAAGAACCTAGAAGATTTGGATTTCGCCGATGATGACAGAAGAGGCAGGGCAGCGAACACGGGAATTCAAGTGAAATGAGTGTAGAGAAGACAGAGCTGATGAAGATACCCAACCAACAACAAACACCAATCACCATTAACGAAAGAAACTTAAAGGAAGTAGCCTCTTTCACCTACCTGACCAGGCAGCATCGTTTCAACTACAGGTGGCACAGACGAGGACGTTAAAGCCAGAATGGGAAAAGCAAGACAGGCTTTCATTAACCTGAAACCGGTGTAGAGATCTTCTGCACTCAGCATGTGGAACAAGATGCAGATTTTCAACACCAACGTCAAGTCAGTGCTTCTGTGTGGCTCAGAGACTTGGCGCGTTACGAAAGGCATTTCCAACAAACTACAGACATTCTTCCCCAACTGCCTACTCCGGCTCGTTACTGAAGATCAGATGGCCAAAGAGAATAAGCAACAAGGAACTGTGGGAACGAACTAACCAAGAACCTGTCGCTGAACAAATATGCACTGGAAGGAAGTGGAGATGGATTGGACTGGTCATGTACTGAGAAGGCCGATTGGGGATATCACGCGCCAGGCCCTCGAGTGGAACCCAGATGGGGAAGCGACGAGTTGGGCGTCCGAGGTGAGGATGAGATGGAGGAGATCATGTGCAGAGGAAATGAGAGCTTCTAGGCTGTCATTGAGCGAGGTTGAAAAGATTTCAGAGAACAGAGTTTACTGGAGACGTGCTACTGAAGCCCTATGTTCCACTAGGAACCCAAGAGACAAATAATAATAATAATAAATTCTGAAAATAGTGTTCTCATTGTGTTGTCCAAGTTCATTGAAAGGACCATATATACAGAATAAACTGCAAAAATTCTATCATGGTGTTTATCAATATATCCATGAGTTGATGGCTAGTGAAGTTACTTAGCGTTTCTCAGTGTACCTAAGTCTGAGATGGTCGATGCATGTTTTTGGCAGACATTCACTCTTTCCACACTTAATTATCATGGTTAATAAAGTTTGAAATGCTCGATAGTAGTTTGCTCATAATATGACTGTAATACAATCAGTCGATGTATCTATTAATGCCCATAAGGAAGAAGAATAACTTGAAGTGATCTAAAATCAATTAAAGTATGATTGCTATGCTCAGTATTAATCGAGTTTTGGAATATTTATCGGAAATTATTTATATAAGATAGGCTTTCCACTTTTGTCCGACTAATCTTTGACCTAAGATTCTATCTATCCCGTGTACTTCCATTATTCTGGTTCTTACTGTTTGTTACAAGTACGTGAGGTAATCCACATTCTGTTTGCTTGTAGATAATTCGGTTATTTCTAACTTGAGATATGTCACTTCTGTTGTGCGTTGAATTTAGACCTCCCATGAAGTCTACAGTAGCGGTATCTATATTCTCAGGGTCTCATACAATGTCGTAGACCATAATCTTGAAAAGAAACTGGATGAGTTTAAAAGATAAGAACTGTGCATTTTCTTCAGATGACTTCTGTATCTCAGATTGTTCTTTCAAATGTTTCATTATTTACTTAACAAAAGTACCACTGCAAGCAACCAATTCAAAAAAATTACTCAATCTCAAAGTTTCTTCAACTCTACATGTGGAGGATTTATCTTCAACAATACACACAAAGTTATCTGTGTAATTGTTTTAAATCCTAGTACATTTTTACTAACTAATTTCAAGTTGATATTCATCATGGACCGATATCAGCTGAAGGAACATTGGAAACCTTGGATCACTGGACAGCTGTTTCCTTCTACTATGAGACTAACAGGGTGCACCATGACCCCGCTCCATCAGGGGTCGAACCCAGTTTCCGTGACTAGCACGTTACCACTATTAGCATAAATAACATTCTTCATTTCATTTTCATATACATTGTGTTCCGCATCTGTTTCTTATGAAAAGATAACACTTTAGGCTTCTAATTTAATGTACACTAGGGTATTAGGCACTATCTTCATTAAATGTACGCTTAGTAGCTGAACTAAAACTACTGCTTCCTATGGGTTTTGAATTATGGAGGTCTCTCAATACGATTTCTTATGCTTTGTCTTATTTAAGCTTTAAAATGAAATATAATTCAGTGAACACATTCAGGTTGTCCACCATACAGCGAGCAACACTTTTTATGTGATGGTTCAAACTTTGGTTGGTGGGTTTCGGCTTGAATCTGTAACCTACTAGTTGAAAGTCGACTACCTTGTGCAATTCGCCAAATCTGCATCAAAAGTTAATTGACACTGTTAGTATTTGGTACTTTCTGATGCGGTACGCTGAGGGAGTTACATCTGCCAAACGATTACCGGAAAAACTGGTGATGTATTTGGACTAATCCTTTTAACTGTATGAGTTTAGTTCATAATAATGTAGTGAATTGCAGAAATATGAACTAAACGATTTGATGAAAACCTGTTTTGAACTGATGTTCTTAATTATATTGATTTATGTGCAAACAAGTTTACAGAACTTGGTTTCTGTCACATACTTCTTTATCAATAAGGTCGGTCCAGAGAATTGTCAACCATACGAGCTATATACCTACCTACCATTTGAACGAATGAAATAAATTTGCAAGACATCCTTTTGATTACGTTACGTTCTGAAGATAAATAATGCTGCATCATAAGATGTTGATAATATCTCGAAATATCTTCTGTTCATGAGGTGTCATCCCGAAGAGTTTTAGATAATCTACTTCAACTGTTTTCAAAAAATGACCATTCTACTTTCTATCCTATAACAACTTCCTTCTTTTTGAGTTTTGATCACCCTTTTCTTGAGTGAATGTAAGCAAGGTCAAGCAAATTTGGGAAATGTTTTCGCCTGTGCCGAAATTTTGGCTCGCGAAATGTTTTTATCATAAATTTGTGGTTGTTGATGATATTTCAAGCTATAGTGTTGTATCTTCAACAAATCGTCGCATAATGCTAACACTTTCACGTTATTGGAAAATTTTGATGGTATTTTACCGTTTTTGATCACATATATATATTATTTTCTTGTTAGTACATTGTAAGAACTTATTGACTGTATAAACAAGTCAGCATATGTGTACACTACGTACAGTTACTGAACAGTCTACTGATATCCTGTCAATGATATCCATGTTCTATTCAACGACGTCTTCACGAAACCAAGTCAGTAGGTTTCACAAAATCTCTTTAATGAATAAACGTCACAAAGTGGTCAGGTAATAACAACTGTTTTTCCGTAGCTTGTGAAGTTGAGACAGCCAAAAATCCCTTAGTACTCAGTAGAGATTGAATAATGAAAAATGAGATATTGAACTTTGACGGACATTCATCATCCGTTGATAATTTTGTTAGTATAGGTATACCAATGCAGTTGTAGTTTTAAAACATGTTGCTTTGCTTGAAAAAAAGCGGAAATGGTAGCTAATTTTGATCGTTTCAAGCCTATTCTTTTGAATCTGTGTACACGCTTCACAACAGAGTTTCCGAAGACAAAATATTTTCAGTCAGTGTTACAGATTATGTTTCAAAAATCACCCCATTATGCCTTGTAAGACAGTATTTTCGTTTCTTTCCCTGTTTGATTATTAAAATGTCCAGATTGCTTTATGCGTCTGTAACCATATATATTGCTGATGTCAGATTTTCTGGAATAGTCTCATCATCAGTGGCATAGGACCAGACATCACTACGCAACAATCCAAACTGACACATCAAGTAACAAATTAATAGGATGAGCGATGAAGAAGAAAAGAAAACTCGGTCAAAAGCAATAGAAAGTAGTAAAAGAGAGAAAGGAGGAATCAGAAAAGGCTGAATTCAGTATAGCGGTTAAGATGAAGAAAAAGTGTGAATGCTTCTGCGCCAGTGACCTCGATTCTCAGCCATATCATCTAGAGTCTCCAACCACTGGTTTCTGTTGTTACCTGGACCCTAGCCGGCTGTTTTGAACCTCCTTGCATGGCTCAGGCTCATTAAAGGATGCCGTGTCTTAGTCTGCCCA